TATAAAGGCCCCTCCGAGATGTAAAACAGGCGAGTCCATGCCCAGAGAATAGAGAGACACGTTTACTAAAATTATCCATTCCCTAATATTTTAGATAACTTTATTGAAAGGTATATCCACCAACCAAGGTTGTGTTAGACTTCTCTGGACCCAAAAACCCTAAAACCAACATAGCTCCTTGTCAATACTAAATAGTAAGTACGGACTTTTTCAACTAGTGAACGCTGAGTTATTATGATTTATCTATCAAACCCGCATGGGCAGCTCAACTGGTTATAGAGGTGAAACTTTGAAAGAATGACCAAGGATCGAGTCTCACTCGCGGCAGTGTAGGAGCAACCTCAAAGTGAGGGGGATTCCTTTGTGCACAGTTAACACCGTCTAGCCTTTGTGGTTCATGTTCAGTTAAGTTACCTGATTTACATACCCTTTTGAAAGAATGATTTATTATCTATCAATAATTTTAGTGAATTGAAGTGTGGGCTTTTAAGGTAATAAATTTTGTCTTTTATTGGCGGGGATTTGTAGAGAGTTAACGCATCAGACGTCGGAGTGATCATATGAATGAAACATTAATATTGCAGACAAGACAAACCGACTATCCTCCGCTTTATTATGGTTGAATATGAGTCCTAATTTAATGGGGCCCATGGCCCAGATAGCGATGAGTGAGTGGCCCAAAGATGGACAGTTGGACCAATACGTGTGTGGATCGTGGGCTGGGAGCCCGTCTTCTTCTACCGACCTCAAATGTATAAAGGGAGTAAGTATTAGATCAAACTAATTAGGTAGAAAACTAGAAATGGTTGAAAGTTAGAATCCAAATTGAAAAGAAATTGCACTTTTCATCCCTAAGTTATAAGGTAATTGTAGAATTCGTACATAAGTATTGATCATGCTCACTTTTTGTCTCTAAGTTATTATTGGTTGTAATTTTTATCATTTCGTGCTCACTTTTCGTCCCTGAGTTATACTAAAATTGTAAATTTTGTCCTTAATGTTTTATTAGTAAAGGAACGAAAAGTGCAACTTCAATAATAACTTAGAGACGAAAAGTGTAATTTGACCAACACTTAGGGACGAATTCTACAATTACCTTATAACTTAAGGACGAAAAGTGTAACTTTCGCTTAGAAATTAAATGTTTAATGTTATATGTATTCTAGTGATAAAACAGGAATGGGTATTAAATAAGTCATTGAATTTTAATAACTTGTATAATTAGATTATTGATCAAAAAATTTATACAATTAACAGGGCATTTGGTTGGAGGGGGTGAATTATGTGGGAAAAGAATTGTAATTTCATGGGAGTTGAATTACTGTGAATAAAGTGGGAATTTAAATTCCAGTGTTTGGTTGACAGGAATAGAATTATTGGGAATTTCAATTCCAATGTTTGGTATACATGGGAATTGAAAGGGAATAAGTAGTATAAAGTCAAAAATGTCCATTATTGTTGTTAGACATTAATTTTAAGTTAAAAAAGGAAGGGGTAATGTTGACTCATCACTATCTTTTTTTCCCAGGAATTAAAATACCAGGGGGACATGAGATTTTAATTCCATGAAAATGGGGAAATTGCAATTCCCTCCAACCAAACTACGGAATTTAATGGCCTTTGGAATTAGGTGGAATTAAGTGGGAAGGGAATTTAAAATCCCTCCAACCAAACGCCCTGTAAAATTCTTTCAGTTGAGCTCATCGCATGGAGTTTTCATAATGCAGTTGATTATATCTTTTTTGTGAGTTGCAAATTATTATATAAAAACTATATTTACCCAGTAACACTCTGAGTAGTGAATGTGGTTTTTCTCGTTGGAAAAAAAATGTACTCCCTTCGTTTTATTTTATGTGTCTGATTCGGTTAACGAGGCTTGACTGAAGTTATTTTAATTATTTTTTCATAATATTAAGTTTAGTATTGGTATACAAAATTTATATATTTAGAAACTATATTAAAAGTACTATTAAATACAAAAAATTAAATTTAAAAATAAGTATATAATACAAAAAAAAAAAAGAATTGATTTGACCTCAATAGGACAGATAAAATGAAATAGAGGAGGAGGAGTACAATTTAAACATTTAACACTAAAAAATTATGTAATTCGCCTTATTTGCCAATCGCTTACCAGGAGAATCAACCGAATTTTTGAGTTGGCATATGATGTGGCTAATTTGAAACGTTGGTATCGACATGAATATTATGTGGCATAAACGTGTCAAAAAGATGATGGCATGAATAATATGAGGAATTGTACTTCCTTCTGAAAATAAATTTCAATGAACCAAACAAAAAGCATTTTCCCAAAGTTTAGGGGATTGACTCCTTTTGATAAATATTTTCCATCCAATCAAACAAGCTAAGAAAAGTAGTAATGGGTTATCCTTTTCTTTCTTAACAAATACTTACATTTAAAAAAAAAAAAAAAAAAAAAAGAAGCAAACCCCTCACTTCCCACCCAACATGATTATCAGCTCACAAGTTTGATTTTTGTCAACATTCTCATGGTCGAGTCCATCGCATAAGATCTTCTTAGTGCGATTTACTTCTTCACTGTAATTTGTAGACTATTACACATAAATAAAGTTTATCCTGTGTACACCATTAGATAGTGACTATAAGTTTTCCTTATTAAAAAAAAATGGTCCCTAACTACTAAAAATGTGCCATTTATAACTTTCAAAGAAAAAAACAAATCAATACTCAAATTTTCAAATTTGCTTAATTTGAACTCAAAGGCGAAAGTAAGTCGCGCTGCAGTTTGGTGGAAGTTCCAATTTCGCTTCCCTGCCAATGAGCTTTCTCAAGTGTAATGTTGATGATGCACTCTTCCATGATAAATCCAAGAGTTTGGGAAGAATGATAAATCCAAGATTCCAAGGTGGGTTTCGAGACGAGACTGGAGCATTTGTGGCAGCACAAAGTGGATTACTGTTATGCCCCGGGATGCGTTTCATGTCAAAACCTTATCTTGTAAAGAGGCCTTCTCGTGACTCAAAACTAAAGGCGTCATTATTGAAACGGATTGTCTTAGGGTCTCACTAGGCATAAACAACAAACACACTAACACTATGTATACAAGGTCTATCATTAATGCGGGTGATTTTTCCGAGGAGGAATAAAATATTACTAGGATTCGTGATCAGGAGATTTGAATGTTGAGTTACCGGGAAGGGAATGTCGTCCTTCCCTTTGACGTTATTGTCCTCAATATCGCTAATCTGTTTGGCAACACAAAACCCCAATGACAACTACCAATGCATACATAATGCAGGAGAGTTGTCTCAAATAAAACTGACCAAAACTCGACTAGATTAGTTTCATTCTACGGAGTGCAAACAGAGATGTTAATAGGGCGGGGCGGACCCTCCATCTCCACCCCCAACTTTCTCCCCCATTTCCCATTCCCCTCGCCATCTGTACCGGGAAAGGAAAACATCTCCTCATCCCCATTCCACGGAATTATTTTGAAATGGGAAATCCCCTACTCCACCTGTAACTTATATAAAAAAGATTAAAAATTAAAAAAAAATAACTCATATATATTAATCTTCAATTTAAAATACTATTAAATATTTTACAATTAAAAAAAAAAACACACACACACGTGTGTGTATATATGTGTATATATATATATATATATATATATATATATATATATCCCTGCCCCCATCACTCATCCCCAATCCCCTACTTTTGTCCATGTTCCCTTCCTCGTCGAACGGGGAGTCGAGTTCCCCGTCAAATACGAATACAATTGACATCCCTAGGTGCAGATATATCAGGTGCGTATACAAAAGTGCAGAAAAGAATTAAAGGAAATGCATTTCTTCAAGTATCAAAAGATGGAAAGAATACAAAACCAAACATTTGCAAGAATGATCTCAGGACCTCTGGCTGCTATGTTTCTTTTCTTCTGGTGGTACAAACTACAAAGGAAAAAAAAAAATGGGCAAGAATTGTTCCAATTTCCAGTTCTCACAGCTGCACATCTCTCCTGGCTTGATATCCAAACCGTGCCCGCCTTATATTCCCTCTACGCTTCTTGTATATCCTCCATCCAACCCACCCAGCACCAGCTGCAGCAAATACTCCTATCACAATCCCGGCCTTCTGTCCTCCACTCAACCCACTCGAGCTTCCAGATTCCGGTGGTGTCTCTTGTTTAGGACCCGAATGTGGCGATGAAGTTGGTTTAGGGGTGGGAGGAGTAGGAGCTGGGGAGCCTGGGGGAGGGGATGGCGGTAAAGTTGGGTTATTGGTGGGAGGAATACGAGCGGGGGAGTGTGGGCCAGGGGATGGCGCAGGCTGTGCATGGACACTGAAGTGTGTGAATATGAGAAACTGTACCAACAGACCGAACAAGTAGAGCTTCTGCATGGTGGTTAGTGATGATCAAATTTGTTCTGAGAGAATACCGCAAAGAATGTGAAACTGCAAATTTATCTCAAACGAACCAATAATGACAATGGAAGCAATGATATAAACGAGGAATGCACAAATGGAACAAACAGAAATGACAAAATCCAACAATGTGGAAGAGCATTGTAGACCACGTTTAAGGTTGACAGTGTCATCTTAATTAACGGTAATATACTAGGAATATTGGTCTAAACAAGATCTCTATATCAGCCAAACACTCGATGCTAGTTCTTGGTGTGCCTTTCAAAGGGACGAAAAGACAAGTTTTCAACAATGATTAATCATGGCCATCAATGTAAAGAGCTAACCTGGCAGACCACCATAGAAATGGTCTTTTATCTGCTGAAAGCAATCTGCATCTCAAACACGCCTTCTCCATTCTCCAAGAAGATGAGTCACTTCCGGTTAACCCTGTCAGTCTTCGAATTTGGCTGGTTAAAAAGAGAAGCAGAAGCAAAGATGTCAAAATACCACTTAACATATAAATCAAGAATCATATAAAACAATGCCTTATTGCAACTACAGTACATCTAGAAAAACAAGTAAAATTCAGGCAAACCAAATTAAAGAAATGAGCAAAATCTCGCATCCATTAATTGGATAAATGTTTACAAATACATAAATGGATGATATATGGGAAGCAAAAAAAAAAAAGATAAAACCACAGGTAGTGTGTAGACACAGCCAAACGACAAATCTGCAAGTGTTGATGGACACCATCTCATTTTGACGAAGAAAACTGGATAAAACAAAATAAAACAAAACAAAACAAAAAAAATCTTTTTACAGCAGGGAAATAATTCTGAGATTAGCTTCTAGGTCTCTCTCCCAGGTGACAAACTAAGTTAACTGGTTCGGCACACTCTGCTTTCGGGATATATCCTAAGTCCAAGGCTTCAGAGCAAAGCTATGAAACAGAACCTAAAGCTGCTCCGTTTTTCCTTGTGGCATGGAGAAGTTCCTTCTACAAGCCTATGACGCATAATATTATCTTCCCTGTTAGAAGTTGTACCTATGCAACTCTTCAATTCTCTCCATCCCATTGGATTATATGGCTCCACGTGCATCTAGTTTTCACTAGATTGTTCTTTGGGGTTTTCTTCTTCTTGGGCAGACTCTGAGATCTTTTCTTTCTCAGATTGAAGAACTGTGGGCCCCTCATTTTCAGTGGTAGCTTTCGGAGAGTCCAAAGCTTTTGCAGGTGACTCTACCTCACGGGGTAAAGCAGTAGAGGCATTCTGTTCCTTGGGTGACACCGGAGACTCCACTACTCCCGCATCTCCCTGAGCAGCCAAATCAGTGCTCTTCTCTTCTCTCTTTACTATTGGCTCTGAACCCTCTGTATCAGACTGTTTATTTGTAGTATCCTCGTTTTCTGAGGGTGCTTCTCGAGCATTTTCAGCCTTGGCAAGTGATTCATTTGGAGCGTTTTCAGCCTTGGCAAGTGACTCATTTGGAGCGTTTTCACCCTTGGCAAGTGACTCATTTGGAGCGTTTTCAGCCTTGGCAAGTGACTCATTTGGAGTGTTTTCAGCCTTGGCAAGTGATTCATTTGGAGCGTTTTCGGCCTTGGCAAGTGATTCATTAGGCTCCGCCTTGCTTTCTAAAGATGTGAGGTCATTATGCTTTGCGGGTGACTCTTCAGTTTTAAGAGTTGATTCTCCATCCTTGGCGGCATTCTCAGTGGACTCAGCAGTGCTCTCCTCATTGTTAGCTGTTGTGTTTTCTTCCTCTGCAACTGGCTTCACTTCTTCCACTATTGGCCCAAGCTTCCCTTCAAGATCCTTAATTGCAAATGTTAAAGCTCTTGCATCCCGAGAAGCTGCTAATTTCGCACGAGGCGATGCCTGTTTGTAAGAATAAAGAATATAAATCCACCAGTGAAGGCAAGACAAAAATTTTGTTGGTCCTCCATAAAACATGCACATATTTGCCAAAAACAATATAACACTTCTCAGGATCATAATAACAGTTCTATCTATCTTGCAATCAAATCAAATAACTAACAAAAGCCGTAAAGGAAATGAGAAGGGGAAAGAATGTGCTTACGGAGTATTTTATTTCCTGAAATGGTAACTTAGTAGGAAGGGAAGAGGGAAACGAATAAGTATGACACTCAAAACTCACCTCCAACAGTTGTTCTGCCCTTTTATTCAGGGCTTCGGGAGAAGCTTCCTTGTGAACAAGTTTTAAGATGCAGACCAAGTGAGCCTGTAGGTTCTCGGTCCGGTGTTGAGGTATATTGCACTGTGGAACTGTAGATTGACAACCTACCGGATAAAAGGGGCAGTTCACGAGCTTCATTTGACAAGTAGTAATGCAATGCCTGTCCATATCCCGCCTCATTATGGTTTCCGGGCATTTCTGCTCGCATGGGATTATTTTGAAAGGACAGGAAGAGTCATGTTCTTCGGCACGTCCTGCAATGAATATAACATTACATCCCTCGTGGTCACAGTTCATAACCCTGAAATTGCAAGAGGGAAGATGTTGTTGCAGCTCTTCGTCAGACCTATACTTCATACTGCAATGGTAGGTGTTCTTGAAGTCGACGTTTCTAAGCAAAGTTTGTGCAACCGCCTCCCTCCGCCCGATCAACCAAAACCCGTTCGTTTCCATCTCCTGCACAAAATCGTCTATCCTATCTTCTCTCCTATCACTCAGAACCCATCCCGAGACACGGCTAAAAAAATTCCTTTTTGAATGTGCGAATTCATCAATAATATCAGAGATAATATCGAAAGCATCAGTAGGTGCTTCGGTATTGGCATCCCCTTCCAAGACAATGGATTCAGCAACAAACGTTTCACTTCTGTGGACAAGATAGTCCACCATTTCTCGTCTAATATCAACAGCCACTGAACCAGGGCTCTTGAATATGCCACCTGTCGTGTTGTCAACACAGGCAGAGGATAATCCTGTAAGGAATTCTTGTGCTATCTTGTGAACCATTTCTGTATCGAAAAGGTTGCAGGGAAACATTGGACCTTCCTCTTTCACCTCTTCAATTGTTGCTGGTTTGTCAGCATCACTTGCAGGGGGATCCATGCTCGCTGGGGGTCCGTGCTTGCAGGGGGGTCCGTGCTCGCAGGGGGGTCCGTGCTCGCAGGGGGGTTTGTGCTTTGAGATTCTTGCATCATGTTCAGTACCAGAATAAAATGGAGTCTGAAAACAATAAATAAAGGCATCAATTGCGCCAGCAGAGAATGAATGGAAGAAAATGCTTTAAAACACCCATAGTTATTTCAAGGAAACATCATTATATGATCTTCAAGAATGAAACCAGACAACTGTCAGCATGGAAAGAATAGTTTACATGCTGACCACTGTTGCAAAAATCGGCCTAGGCCCTAAGCACCCCTCTAGGGTGCCGGCCGCCTAGGCGCCTAACTCGGCCGACTCGGCCTTGCTAATTTTTTTTCATTATATATATATAATATGACATACACCCACATAGGTGCACTATTTTGTTTTTTTAGTCAGCCGTCTAGGCGCTAGGCACTACTCTGCTGCCTGACTAGCACCTGGCGCCTACTGCAACCATGATGCTAGTTGACATGCATTTACAAGCATCCAACATAAATCCGCACATCAAGAAGTAGAATAGGCTATGAACTTTTCGTTTCAAATTGGAAGCACTTATTGGTGAATAAAACAACCACATTATCTATCATCTAGTTCCAGTTGATAGACTCTAGAAGCTGTCTAACAACATAAAGAATTTAGATTAGACCGCGTAGGGATTGATGAACAATATGGGCAAGATTACGCTTTCCCTGACCACTAAAGTAAAGACTTCAATGAAAGGAAGGAGATGCAGTGGGGGAAGGAAAAAGCTTAAAGCTTTTGGAGATTGATCTTTGGTTTTCATCAAAAACAAAGAAGGCTAAGGATGGATTAAGAGCTGAGACAAAACACCTTCTGAGAGGTCAATTAAGTTGTAAATTTTGTTTAAGTCACTAATGCTCAATGCATAGCCTTTTACTTCATTCTGGGAGGCCAATAATGATACTCCTTCTGTAATGTATAAAATATCATCTATTATCATTTGGGAAAGGTAATTACTAAACAAAGAAAAGGCACAAACTTTTCCCAAATTCGCAATCATGGAACAACCCAAAAATTTGTAAAATTGAGATCTAGAAAGAAGCTCTAAATCATATTACAAAATGCAATCAAACACACACACCATCTCTGTTTCATTTAGCCATGAGAAATTTGTCAGATACACATATCCTCCATTACAGATTTAACTGATTTAGCCATCTATAATCAAAATCAAACACCATAACTGCATTTTTTCATGGCACAAATCCCTTATGATTAAAGAACAAAAAGAGATCGAACACTAAATCTTACTATGGAGGTATGAAACTGGAAAAAAAAAGGCATTGGCAAATCGAGTAATAGAATTAAACATCTGAGATTAATATACCTTATATACCTATATTCCCATTCTAATTCGCAAAACACGAACACATTGAAGAATGAGGGAGAGGTAAAAGGATTACCTTTAACTCGTACGGTGAAAATGCTGGATCAGAAGAGAAAACCCGGAAATGGGTTTGTTTATTATATGCAAAATCAAGAATGAGAGAATCAATCAAGAACAGTTACAACCCAACGAAATGGCATTTCTTGCTCTATATATTACCGTAAAATGTCAAGAGTTTTAAAAAATGCCGATAAAAAAAAGTGTGGGTGGGAGTAGAAATGGAAATTAGACAAAGAAAAATTTTAAAAATAATAAAAAAATTCAGGGGATTTGTGTTTCATGTACCTCCAATTTTTGCAGTGGCTTGCCACTTTTGTCTCCGATCTTGGAGTTGGTGGGCACTGGGATGTTGGTAAAAGCTTCATTCTGTTTGTTAATGTCATATAATATAGTATAGTTACATTAGTACGTGCATGCCATGCCTTTTTTTTTTTTTTTTTCATTTAACACATAATAAAATTAATTGAAAAATGATTAAATATGTCCATAAACCCAACAAATTTCATATTTTTGGGGTGCGACGGCAGCTGGCAGTAAGGTGGTGGCGGTGGCGATGGCGATGACGATGACCTGGCAGGTTAGCGAACGTCGACGTCGAATAGCAGATTGGTTCTGAAAGACTTGATTTAGAAGAATAAGTTGTCTCGGGAAAATGACTTTTCAAAAAATAAAAAAAAATAAAAAAATATTTTTCAAAAAACACTCATATTTTTCATTGACTTTACCCTCATTTTCCATTGACTTCTATTTTTTCTCTCTTACCAAACACTAAGAACCCGAACTCGGGTTTCCAAACACGCCATTATATCCAATTTCTCTTTTGGAGTGCTTCTCCAATGGTTAAATGGTTCATTTGCGAACTAATTTAAGAGCTCGAAGCCAAAGCAAATCAACACTAATTACATACAATAGTGAATTTAACCATTTAATTATTTTTACATCCACGATTCTTCATCCCTTCAATAATTCAAATGTTACAAAAGTGGTGGATTACGTTCCTCCCGCCTCCATGCACCCTAACACAAAAGATTAAAGCAGCATGGTTATATAATTATATAAAAATTCCCATAATTTATTTAATTACGATGTCTTTTAACCCATGATATAATATAGGAGGTTTAAGTATATTTTTATATGCATCTTTAGATTTATTAATTACTTGATGAAATGAGTTCAAATTGTGTTAATATTATTTTGATAAATAATAAAATAACTATTTTATATTATAGTTTACATGAAGAGTATTTAAACGATCCGTTTGGAGAAAGCTCTAGCGGTGAAAGAAGCTCTTTCATGGGTGAAAGAGATTGGTTATGATAAGGTGGCCATCAACAACAGTGCGGCTACCAAGGATAAAACTATGAGACTTAAAAAATGTCACAAAGTAAAGATAAGAGTTATGTGTTCATGCTTTTAGTTTTATTAAAATCTCAATAAGATAATAAAGAATTTTAGTGTTGATAAGTCTTTAAAACACAATGCAAAAAACAAAACAAAAAAAAAAAAACAACAAAAAAAAAACAAAACAAAACAAAACAAAACAAAAAAAGAGTAAAGAAACCTATATCAGCTTTGATTCTTAAACTTAAACTTCAAGTATGCAAAACCATAATCAAACATTTTCGATAAAGTTTCAATTCTAATTTCATAAACTATCGAATTAAGGATCACACATCCAGGATCGAAATTAAATTGTGGTGACATCTATGGTGCAGTGATAATTAAAAGATTGAATCCATACTATTAATATAAGAAAAAACTAAATTGAAAACTAAAATTTTAGCATTCAAAAAAGAAAACTAAAATTTTAATTCAAAAACGAGTAATTTAAAAAAAAAAAAAATTGATCTTGAGTATTAGTGGCTCTATTACAATGCAACAGGGACGGAGCCAGAAATTCGGTTAAAAATGTGATTGTGTTAAAGTCATAGGGCAATGAGTAAAAAGAATTGTAAAACTACATTGATAGCAAGATTTGAACTCTTAACCTCATTATGGCTAAATATATACTCTACTGCCTAATCTAACTCACTTCTTATTATCACTTTATAGTTTTTTTTTTATACTAATACTAAAACATGTACTATATATACATATATGCATACAAAAACTATATATGGGGTTGGGGTGGGGTGATGGGGGCAGCTGCCCCCCTTTGGCTCCGTCCCTGCAATGCAATATATGTTTTTTTTTCAGTAATTTTGAATTTTAAAAATGAAAATTTTCTATTTTTAATACAATTCTCCGATTGCTAAGTGTTAACTGTTGTCATGGCATTTGAGAGTTGAGAGTGATCTTTTAAATAGTGGGGTCTAAATGTTAATATAATAAATTATAGGGTAGAAATCACATTAACACTTTTTTTTTCTTTTTAAAGTACTACTGACTCTATTAGATTGTAGTATCTATTCACCAAGGTTGAAAAAATCGCTATGTCTCTTTAGAGGTTTGGGGACCACCTAGAGCGATTAATCGGGCCTTGCAACACTGTTGTTCATACATACTTTCTCATTCACTGAGACTCGATCTCATGCCAAATCACTATATGTAATCTGAACAGCTTGGCGCATTAACACTTGTTAAATGGAGATTAATGGGGAGTAGTCCATACAAATTATATTATAATATAAAAGAGTTAAAAAGGAAAGTCGTAACTAAAAGACTCCCAACTACCATCCACTTTATTCAATACTGCCCAACTAATTACCCCCAACTTCCATTTAATTGCGCCATATGCTCCGCCGGCGGAGCACGGCGGCGTGTGTGTTAACTGGTGGGGTTTCCGGCTCTGGTTCTGAGCCACTGTATAACGTCTCCAAACACGCGCTCCACGTTCTCCTCCGGCTCGCCCACCAGTTGGTGCCACATTCCGGGATATATATTCAGAGTCTTGTCCTTGCTGGCGGCGCGTCGGTACAGCTCTTCCACGCACGCCGGGTCGCAGACGACGTCTTCCCCGCCGTGAATGATCAGGAACGGGACTTCCACTTCTTCGAACCTCGCTTGCAGATCCCTGCACACCCTCAACAGCTCACGCGCCGTCGCTGCTCGCGGCCTCGCCATGGTCCTAGTGGGGCTTGCTATCGCCAGTTTCCTCTTCCATTCCTCCTTCATTCGTACGTGACGGAAATTGGAAAGCAAATTCGATGAGTACTCTAAAACGGAATTTAATGGCGGAAAAGGAAAATATCAAATCTGACCTTGAATGAGACGTCGGGAATGGAGCCGCGCGTGGGGACCACGTGCCAAGTCGGGATTAAGTACGCGGCAATGTCAAGGAAATGCTCCAGCGGCCATGGCGGCTTGAACTTATCGCTGATGCCGCACATGGCCCCGTTCAAAACGACGCCGTCGAAGCGCCGTTTCGGGGCGGAATCGCCGCGGCGGAGCGTTATGAGCAGAGCAATCGCGCCGCCGAGAGACTCGGCGTAGAGGAACGAAGGCAGCTCCGGCGGCACGTGGCGGTCACGGAACGAGTCGAAGAACGCTACGCAGTCGTCGACGACGGGGTTTATGTCCGGTATGTGAGCCTTCAGCCCCCCCTCGGTGTAGCCGTGGCCCTGGTGGTCGATGGCGCAGACGGCGAACCCTTGCTTCGCGATGTGCACGGCGGTGAGCTGGATCAGCCAGTTGGAGTCGCCGGTGAAGCCGTGGACGACGCAGACGGCGCCAATCACCTTCGCCGGAGGGAGCGGGGTCCACCACTGGGTGAACAGCTTGAGACCGCGAGAATTGGTGACGAACTCGGAGCCGTGACTCACCGAGTGGCGCAAGTAGAACTCGTCGGCACTCAGTGAGCCAAATGGACTCTCCTCGTTCGCCTCTGCCACCGGATGCTTCATACTAGGGTTCATCTCCGGCGAATGTACAGACAGATGAGAATTCAGGGAAAGAGATGATATAAGAAAGGAGAGATGACGTTTGGTAGTTTCTCGTTGGAGACACTCATTACTCATTAGCCATTCCCATCTACTCACTACTGACTGTATTCTCAGAATTACTTATTTCACTTTGATCCTTCAAGTTTGCAACAATGATAAATCTTGGTGTCTATTATATCAAAATTATGAATTCACCATTCTAGTTTACACTCAATTTCATTTTTTTTGTTAATACAAAATAGGGAAAATCCCATAATCATAATCCACAAATTAAATGATCGAGAACATGAATTTCATAGTTATACTTGACTATTAGGTTGTGGTTTGGTTTATAGTTCATTGAGTTTGTAATTTTAGTTGTGATTGATTTTTCTTGAGTTGAGCTTTTAATTTAAAACAAAATTTTTAATTTGTTGTTAATAGAAAAGTTTATTTTTTTAAAAGTGATACAGTATTATTTTGATATCTTATATTCTTTTCTCAGTACGTTTTACTCTTTCACTTAGGGTGTTGGTCGATCTTAATTTTTGGTATATTACTATCGACTGTTATTTAGATGAAATATTAAATTGTACTACTTCCGTCCCATTTTATGTGTCTTAGTTCCGTTAACAAGGCTTAACTGAAGTTATTTTTAATCTAATTTTTCATAATATTAAGTTTAATATTTTTATACAAAATTTATATATTTAGAAAATACACTAAAAGTATTATTAAACACAAAAAAAAAATCAAATTTAAAAATAAGTAAAAAATACTAAAGAAATAAATAAAGAAGAAGTTAGTTTGACCCAATAAATAGTAAGTATACAGATAAAATGGGACATGAGTATATATATAATTATAACAATTTTTTTGTCAAAATGCTCCTCAATTATTGCTCATTCTCAATTTTGCAGTTTGACTTTCAATTGCATCAAATGGAGTTAATACCCAAAATTGTCCTTAACTATAGTGGTTTTTCTCAATTTCGTCCTAAACGGCTTTGGTGACTTAATGTAGTCCCAGAGTTTCGTGTTTTTACCCAATTTAGTCCCAGACTTTTGTATTTTTGATCAATTTAGTCCCTCATTTGTTATTCGGTCCATTTGTTGTTAAATAAATAGGCAATTCAGTAATTTTAATATTGACATCTCTTTACTCATAGACATGTAAAGTGCGAAATCTTTTTTTTTTTTTTTTTTTTTTTTTTACGAATTACTCCCAGAATCCCTCCTAAACCTGCGAATATAAAATTTGATTCGTAGGTCTAAGAGTAATTATAGGTGTAATTCGTACAAGAAAGATGGATTTCTCACTTCGCAGGTTAAAAGTAAAGAGAGATCAATATTGATAATATTGAATTGTCCCTTTATTTAACACCAATTTGACAAAATAATAAACGGAGGACTAAATTGAGCAAAACACAAAAGTCTGGGACTATATTAGGTCACCAAAGTCGTTTAGGACGAAATTGAGAAAAACCACTATAGTCGGTTAGATCTTCTAAAATTAGGAATTTGAATGCTCGAACAAATATAACAGAACATCAACATGCTAAAGAAGTATAGGAACTGAATTTTGTAGTTACAATGTACCAACTATCTTACAACTTGAACAACTATACAATGTACTTACAACTTGAACAACTATACAATGTACTTACAACTTGAACAACTATATAGTGTATACTAATCCTAATTTGCATTACCGGCATTTGCATTTGCCGGCTGAGTAACAAAAGCATGCTGTGTAAGGTTGCTACGGTGCTTCTTTCCTGGGCATTTACGTTCAGGCAAGAATTGAGGAAGTCAATTAACTCCTCCGTAGCTCCGGGCACCTCCTGCAGCGGGAGGGAATCAGTAATAGCCCTATGAATAGTGTCTAGATTAGCACTAAAATCAACCTGGGCGAGTGGGTAGTGGCCTACAAACAGCTCCCACACAACCATTCCCGTACCCCAAACATCTTGTTGAAAAAGATTTAGGGCATTCAATCCCCTTCTGGAGCTGGCAGCCTGTATTGCCTCGGGGCTCAAATATTGAGCCCCGTGATTCGGTAGGGCAGGCCTGACTGCCGCCCGCTCCAAGGAGGGGATAACACGACACATGGCAGCCTCTATGATCTTCGAGTGCCCAAAGCTGCACAGCTTCACAGTCATGTTCGGGTTCACCAACACGTGATCGGGTTGAATAGCCATATGTGCTATTGATTTCTTGTGGATATGAGTTAGAGCCTCCAAAATCTGATTTGCGACCCTCGATAATTGGACCTCGTCCTGAATATGTAGTCCATTAAGGGACCGGCCATTGATGTACTCCAGGAGAATCTGTGTATTGCCATTGTACCAGTTTTTGTTAGAATGGTGCTTTCTAATTAGGTTTTGGTGTCGTCCAACCAGCTGAAGAATTTGTAGCTCGTCATTGTTTGTTGGCTCTTCCAAGCAATTGGTATGCGTTGTCTTCAGGATGTACTGCATATCACCATCGGCCCTCCTTTTGCGAACTATAGTAACCTTCCCGGTGAGACGTTCCCCAAGTTCCATTTCATGGCACCGGGGTTGGTATTCAGGTGGGGGTCGGGGTGGACCGAATACGTCCATGGCTCACTGTGACAAGAAAAAAATAAAAAGAAAAAGAAAAAGGGAATTAGTCTGTGACCAATATGCATTGATAGCAAACAATATTCACTTTAACAGCAAGTGATTGGTAAGTTGAAAGATAGTGATAGAGAGCTACAAATTAAACATGTGAATCATAGAGAGCACCGGCGTACGTCGACGACTACTATGATTACATCGTCCCCTCGTCGGGGCGGCGAAATTGTCTTTGGTTCTTGAAACCTTAGACGCATGCATGCGGCGTTCCGTTCTTGTTGGCGAAGTCCCGGCCGGACAAGCCGGCGCCATAAACGCCGGCCGGTCTCTACAGTGCGGCTAAATATTAAAGAGACGCAAACTTCACCGGTGACAATCAAAACCGTAGAAACACACAACAGCACCTAGCATGCACGCTAAAGACACCACACACAACAACGTACTGCATTTACAAATTAAAATTAATGTAGGAAATGCGTACCAAGAAATCAGGAGATGAATTGAAGAGCTAGCGAACTATGAGCGAATCTGGGAATCTGAGCGTCGGTGAGTAGTGAAAGAGCGCTTCACCGGTGACAATCAATGAGGAAGGCGGAGTTGTCAGAAATCGTAGAAACACACAACAGAACCTAGCATGCACGCTAAAGACACCATACGCAATGCATTTACAAATTAAAATAAATGTAGGATAGGAAATGCGTACCAAGAAATCAGGAGATGAAGAGGTAGCGAACTCTGAGCGAATCTGGGAATCTGAGCGTCGGTGAGTAGCGAAAGAACCAACCAGGACTCGCTCTCTTTAATTTCAAGAACAGGACGCCGTCTCGGATATATAGGCATAGGCGCTCATCGTGAGATTTTACCTATATATATATATATATATATATATATATATATATATATATATATATTCTTAGTAATTTGCAAATTAAAGTATTAGGTGAAGAATTGAAGCTAGGTGATTGTTAAAATATTGTAATTGCAATAATATCATTCTCTCAGTAGAGTAATATAATACATAGCTAATACCTTGTATATGTTCCTGAGGAAATATTATTGTGACTGACAATGGGCTCGAAGGGTGCCATTAATGGAGGCGACAAGCCGTTGATTCCAACTATATTTGCAGGTGTTTATCTCTCTTTCTCTCTCTCTTCCTGCCTCCATGTTTCTTCAATTCATTCCATCTTATTTTTACACTTCATTTCTATTTGTGGGTGCAGGAAAGAGTAAATTTAGGTTTCTGATGATGATAAGTAGTAGGATAAAAGGGCTTCTGTGGGTAATAGTTAATAGGAGGAGGAGGAAGAAGATGATGCCTTGGATAGGGTGTTCTATCCAAATGTTGAAACCCATCTAAGCCTATATCCACAAGCTTCTGCTTTGGGTAGGCGGCTGCCATTTCAGAAAGCTGCTGGATGGGTTTTAGAGTCTAGTGTGTAGTATGAACTAGAAGAAGAAGAAGAACACCCTAAACATTAACAACATAGAAGGAAAGGTATATGATCATGTGGAATAACTTGAGAAAACAAAATATACTGGAGTATTTTTTTAAAAATATTTCTACTAAAGTTATTATTGTTTGAAAATGATAAGTGTATTCATGAGAAATAAGTGTATTAAAGGGGAGACACGCGTTTTTAATAAAACGACGTCGTTTTTGCATCCGTATGCACCATGTATGGTGCATACGGATGCACAACATAATTTGCCGAGTTTATGTATATTATGTTAAGAGTTTATGTGTATTACATTAAGAGTTTATGTATATTATGTATTATGTTAAAATTATGTGTATTATGTTAGGAGTTTATATACTTTCTACTATATAATTATGTACATGCGAAACAGGAGATTTTTAGGATGCACAATATAACAATTGCTAAACAAACCCTGGTTGTCATACTACGGACTTTCGTCTTCTTCCGACTGCGCTGCGAGCGTCCTTTTCTCTAAACTCACCCGATATCAATGAAAACCAACAAATGTTTTCGGTGATATGGCATTTCAATCAAATCGCCAGGAGACATCCACTTCGGATTTTAAGTTACATAGTTCATTTGTCCGTCGCTTTTCCTTTGTGTGGAATATTTTTCTTTAATTTCAAGATACCAAAGTGGAAATTTTTTGCTACCAACAGCAAATATGTTATTTCTTTTAACAGATTGTGTACATCAGTGCTCTCCAACAAAGATAAGTACTTCTTTAATTTACCAGCTTAACCTATTTTGTGATGTTTATACTTTTTTTTTTTTTTGTCGATTTAGGATTTATTATTAAAGATATTTCAATCAGTAGTATAACTTGAGTTCATATTGAAAAATAGGCAAAATTATACTGGGCTAGGATTTTCATATAAACTGTATACTTTAATTATATATATATATATATATATATATATATATATTCACTAGGGTGTTGCTATTTGCACCACTCTTTGGTCAAAAGTAGGTATAAAGTATCTTGAAATTGTAAAAAGGTACAAATTTTCAATAATTACATAGGTGGTGTAAATAGCCACATGGGGGGTTCATTTTGCTATTTGCACCACCTTAGTTAAACCTCATTTATGAGGTGTAATTAATAATTTTTTAATTCATAATTTAATTAAGAGAAAATTGTACTTTTCCCCCTAAGTTATATAGACGCATCTACCAACTAAATTTGTTCGATTGACTTTTTTTGCAGGTTGCTAACAGGTTGCCTATAAGATGATGGTTTTTAGAATGTGTTGTTTAGAGGCAATTCAACGCCCTTGCAATTAGGAGGCTGAAGGAGATTCGGTACTACAGGGGCATAAGGCACTTTCAAGGATTGCCATGCAGAGGACAGCGGACTAAGAACAATTGCCGTACTCTAAAGGGCAAGAAGGTGGCCATTGCAGGGAAGAAGAAAGCACACTACAAGAAAAATGCACATAGACAACACTAGAAAGACAACAGTTTTTAAGAAAAATGTTGTCTTTTGTATAAAAGACAGCAGTTTGGTCCAAAACCGTTGTCTTTGATGCAACACTTTTGTCAAAGACAACGGTTTTTACTTAACCGTTGTTATAAGTGTGTTGTCTTTGTGCATTTTGTGAAAAGACAACACCACAACGACAACGGTTTTTTAAAATCGTTGTCTGTGTTTTTTTTTTTTTAAAGACAACAGTTTTTTTAACCGTTGTCGTTGGTGTGTTGTCTTTAAGCGCACTAGAATACACAACACTAGAAAGACAACGGTTGTTTAAAATCGTTGTCTTTGTGCGCTTTTTTTTTTTTTTTAAAGACAACGGTTTTATTTAACTGTTGTCGTTGGTGTGTTGTCTTTAAGCGCACTAGAATACACAACACTACAAAGACAACGGTTTTTTAAAACCGTTGTCTTTGCGCATTATTATTTTATAAAAGACAACGGTTTTATTTAACCATTGTCATTTATGTGTTGTCTTTAATAGCACTTGAATATACAACACTACAACAACAACGGTTTTATATAACCGTTGTCATTGCGCGTTCTTTATTTGTTTAAAACAACAGTTTTATTTAACCGTTGTCTTTGGTATGTTGTCTTTAAGCGTATTTGAATACACAACACTACAAAGACAACGGTTATAAAATATAAAAAAATCGTTGTCTTTGCGCATCATTATTTTATAAAAGACAACCGTTGTATAAAATATAAACAAAAATGTTAACAACAACAAGAGTCAAACCTATGACCTCAAATATAGCAATTAAGGTTTAACCAACTAAGCAACACAAACTCTTATGTACCAAAGTGCAACATCTCGTATATAATTGGGTTACTTTTGTGTTGTCTGTGAAAACCAAGACAACGATTTTATAAAATAGGTTAAGGATGCCTCTAGGAAGAATAGAACTTGAGACTTCTAACATAATCTAACATTTAACATAACAAACTAAGCTAAACCCACTAAGCCACACCAACACTTATATACTTAAGTGCAATATCTAAGATATAACGAGTTTGATTTTGTGTTGTCTCTGAGAACCAATACAATGATTGTATAAAATACAAGTTAAGGATGCCACCAAGAAAGATAGAACCCATGACCTCTAACATAACAAACAAAGCTAAACCCACCAAACCATAACAACTCTTGTGTAATAAAGTGTTACACCTTATCTTTTACCTATAATTTGGACCTTCATTATTTTTGTTACGAGATAAAAATAGATGTTTAGAAGATCTAGAACAAAAATAAAAATGTAATTAAATTTTTTTGTCTAAATATAATGCATAAAAATTTAACAAAGAAATAATACAATTCAAAAGTTAATTTAAAATTGTTCACCAAAATTTCAATGTCAATTCATTAAAGTTTTATTTTCAATTCATTAAATTACATGCCATATAATGGCCCTGTGCGGTGCGGTGTGGTGTTCAGAATGGTGTGAAGGGGTTAAGGGCGATATGTTTGAACTCTATATTCACAATTACAGAACTCTATGTTCAATTTACTGTATTTAAATTATGAATCTACGACTTAGAAATTATGAATCTAGAGTAAAGATTTTATAAATCTACAGTATAGAATTTATGAATCTACAATATAAAAATCTATGAATCTCGCGTTCTATGAATCTACTGTTGCCTAGCGTCCCAGATAATAAAGTTACTATTTTCCAATCCCCGTTCTGTACCTATATACCCGTTACTATTTTGGGCCTAGTGCCCCAAGTAATAAAGCTATTATTTTCTTACCCCAGTTTTGTATCTATATACCCGGATTATGATAGACCCGCTCCCAATATAGGTGACAGTTCACTTTTAATTTTTTTTTTTTTAACATTCATTTTTAGTCCTATATATTATTCTGACATGACCAATTTTGGTTCTATAGACTGTTACCTATAAATCTAAGATAAAAAATGAAATTCACTCTTCTTTAAAATTTGACTTTCAAGGGTCAATAGTGTATGTTCTTTTTTACATTTATTCTAATTCTCACATATTAGTATATATGACTGTGATTTGGTTTTTATTTTGAATTGTTGGTTCACGGTTCCGGATCCAATTTGAACTGTAGGTTCAAATTTTATTTTAAAATTTTATTTTTTATTTTTAAAGTAGTCTAAATGCAACAATAAATATTAGTAGATAAGTTTGATGGTTCATATTTTAATTCAAGATCTTAAATGAACAATCGATAAAGTAACATAAATCTATTTGACCGTTCAATACAAATTAAGTTTTTCTTCTCATACACTTCACAAAAAATCTCTTCCCTCTCAAACAAAAATTTTCCCTCTCAACTTTCCGCCTTTACGCCTTTCTCAACCCACCTCAACCTCCATCTCCTCTACCGTTCCTCCATCTCCAAAACCTAAATCCGTCGCCTACCGCTTACTACAAGAAAAATGCCCAAGACTCCAACGTCGCGACAATCATTCCCAACGCCTGGGTGTTTGCCGTCAAAATCGCTCGTCGACATCGCCGTCTCTGCTGCGCTACAGGTTCTATTACTCAAATCTTAAACCCTAATCCCTAAAATCTTAATTCTATTTATCCCTAAATCATAATTTCATTAATCCCTAAATTCTTTATGTGATAGTTATTTTTACGCACCTGTGTGGATGTATAGGTTCGTAAGTGTTAGTGTGGAGTTCTTGACTTTTTTCTGTGTTGATTTCAGATGAGCAATCAGTGGAGTAATTCTAAAAAGGCACCGGTTGGGAAAAGCCGATACATATGGTGGTAGTAGATCGGAGTTATCCAGTGAAGTGTTATTTGATGATTATGGACGACCTATTAATATTCCAGGTGGGAAGGAATAGAAGGGTTCTGAGAGTTTTCCATGGCCAGACTGACATGGATGTGGTATGTCAGGTTCGTGAATGTTATCGTAATGCATTATTGATATTTGCATTTGCTTGAATTGCTAGAATTTTGAATGTCAAATCTGCTGCTCTGTGATGAATTATAAATGTTCTCTATGCTTGTCTGATAATCTTGAAATTCACTATTCACAAGCACTTAGTGATGGGTTTGTGATCTTGTTTCAGATTGGACTTGATGGGATTAGAATACTTGAGCCTGCTACAAGCAGAACTCTAAAGATATATCAACTTGATAATGTGGCAAGATGGGAGGTAAATTAATGTGTAGGTTCTATATATGAAATTATGATTTTATTTCCCTTCATGTTACCCAGAAGATAAAATTTGCTTTTATATTTTTAATAGGTATTGGATTCATATATATTTGCATTTTGGACCAAAAGCTCTGTTGACACTGAACCTAAATAGACCGGGCTTAAATCAAACAGCTATACCACAAACAATATCCTGGATGTCGTGACAATAGCAATTATTCAGGTTAAATGATCTCCTCTTTATTTATTTTGGGATAATTAAAAGTTAAACTGCCCAATATTTAGTCTCCATTCCTTCTTTTTCTCCCCTATTACTGTGCTTGTGTATGTGCCTTCCTAAATTAGTTATAGTCTAAATCTATTTTATTAGTGAATGCTGATATGTTGATGTTATGGTCCAGTTTTTTCTCCATTTATATGCCTCTGTCTATCATCAATTTGCCTTTCTACTTAGTCATGTGTGTTCTGTTTTGTTTACTTTGGAGTTTAACCTGTTACCAACTAATTACAGGTTCCTTGGTTTGGCTAAATGTCCATCCTGTTTACTTCTTTACATGAGTGATTGATCTATTTCTTATTTTTCTGATACATAACTTGAAGGCTGTGTATGATATAACAGGTCAATGAAATGGGTGAAACTAATAGACCTTCAAATCTTACCAGAGGTGGATCTGAGCAACTTGCATACATGAAGAAATGTTTTACTGATTGGATGAAAATAATGAGGCCACAAAATGAAGAGAAACATCACTGGGTAGAATTTTGAACATTATATTGATTTCAATGATTGTTCTTTTCTTTTAAACTACTAATATTAATATTAATTAGTACAAGATTTTTGTGTTTTAGTTTATGTTGGGCAAACTATTGAAAGCTTTTCCTTTAATAGCTTCTTGATGAAGCAGTCACCAAGTTCAGTAATTGTAAGTATTCTTTATCTATTTTACTTATATTCATGTAAGATGAGTCAAAATAAAACTACAAATCATCATTACTTTGCTCTATTTTGGTTGTGGTTCCACATGTACATGCTACAGATTGAAGTGTTGGCACCATCTTCCTAATGAGGCTATTCAATCTGGGTGTATGAGTCATTTCATATACTTCAAATGGGAGCTTGGCCAAAGACATCTCTTACAAAGGACGCTAATTAGACTACGTATGTCAAATAGTGAATTTTTCTTCTTTGACAGTTCTCTTGCCACATTTTTATATACTTCCTATCCAATATGTTCTTCTACATTGACAGGAAAAATGCTTGTGTCTATGTAATGAGAACCATGAAGCGCATAAGGTCTTTCTTGAAAATGTATCTTTGGTCACTACAATATTTAGATTTAGTGATTGGAATTGTTCATTGTATTTTAAAGTAGATGATGAATTTTTGTGTATTTTGAAATACTTTACATACTTGTAAAAGATGATTGTACTAATGAATTGATGCTTTGATATTTATGGCGTTTGAATAAATTATTTTTATTATATTATGCTTAAAATCAAAATAGGTTAAAAACAACGGTTTAAAACCGTTGTCTATGAATGTGCGAACAATGGTTTTTAACCGTTGTCTTTGATATATAAGACAACGGTTAAAAACCGTTGTCTATGCCAATGACTTTCAACAACACCGGTTTCAACAACCTTCAATAGACAACAGTTTTTAACCGTTGTCTTTACTAGAAAAGACAACGGTTAAAAACCGTTGTCTATGTGCGTGACTTTTAACAACACCGGTTTCAGCAACACTCAATAGACAACGGTTCAAAAACTGTTGTCGTTTCTAGAAAAGACAACGGTTAAAAACTGTTGTCTATGTGCGTGACTTTTAACAACATCGGTTTCAACAACACTTAATAGACAACGGTTAAAAAACCGTTGTCGTTTCTAGAAAAGACAACGGTTATTAACCGTTGTCTATGTGCGTGACTTTTAACAACACTGGTTTCAACAACGCTTAATAGACAATAGTTAAAAAACCGTTGTCGTTTCTAGAAAAGACAACGGTTATTAACCGTTGTCTATGTGCGTGACTTACAACAACACCAGCTTCAACAACACTTAATAGACAACGGTTAAAAAACCGTTGTTGTTTCTAGAAAAGACAACGGTTAAAAAACCGTTGTCTATGCGCGGGACTTACAACAACACCGACTTCAACAACAGAAATTATACCCGTACGACAACGGTTATTGACCGTTGTCTATGTGCATTTTTCTTGTAGTGGCACCTCGTTAATCCGAACTAGATTCTGTAACTGACTTGTATCTATGCCTGATGCAAAAATGTTCATTGATAATGTATGACCACCTTTATTTCATTGAATCCAAATTTGGATATTTTCTTGGCCCTTTCTTTTTGTTTGAATGATGTAAAAACTCAATTTTATACATTATATTTGGGTGCACCACTATCGGCAAGAAGGCCTCAAACAGGAATTTCAGCAAATAAAAAAATAAATAAAAATAAAAATAAAAAAGAATTTCAGCTACGGTTGTCTGTGAAATACGTTGCCATCGGCTGTACCGGTGACTGAAATTATCTTTTATTTTATTTTATTTTATTTTTAAAAATGGAATAGGTAACCTGTTAGCAACCTGTAAAAAAAGTCAATCGAACAAATTTAATTGGTAGATAGGCCTATTTGACACTTAATTTAGTTCGTGGTGGAAATTGAGCATTTCGCAGTAGTAGATGGGCCTATTCGACACTTCTGCCTTTATTTTTCTTCTCTAACAAATTATTGTGTATACGTAGGAATGACCACGGTTCGGTTCTAACTGAACCGGACACTATAGCAATCGAATTAAAAATTTCCGGTTAAGGAAAAATTGTACACTTTTTCCCTCTGAATTATATGATTATAGCACTTTTTTTCCTCTCAGTTATTTGTTTATCCACATTTGCTCCCTCAATTATATTAATCACTTTAATCATGTATTGATGTTGTGTACTTGAAAGGTTGTATATGACCACTATATAAAGTGAGTGAAGATGAATAAAAGGGACACACTTACATGATTGTTATGCTATAGCTTGGTGTTCTTCTTCTCCTTCCTTTCCCCCCTCTATGCACCTACAAACACACATACATATACATACGCAATTCCGGGTGTATAACCGTGCAAGCATCACACGAGAACCAACGAGCGAATAGGCCAAAACTTAACAATAAAAACCAATTGCTGTTAAATCAAAGTAATTGTAGATTACTAGTATATATGTCCTCTAATGAAGGTGTGCATTCCTCAAAAAGAGAGAAATCAAACATAATCTTAGATATAAAATTACACTCCAAAATGCCATTGGAACGTAATGGATTGTCAACTTCAATATGATTGCGAAAGCCTAAGAAATCAATATTCCCCCCCCCCCCCTCCCTTTTAACTGGAATGAAGTTCGGAAGAGTAATATATAACATGTGTGATTGCAAATTAGAACAACTCCATTTGACTTTGCTTACGATTCAAAACCGAAAAAATAAAATACAATAAAATAATTATTAAATTTATTTTTTTAAAAAATAAGAAATAAAATTTATAATAAATAAATAAATTTTGAACTGGCAATAAAAAAAAATTGTTTGAACTGAACCGTGACCATCCATACATATAAACAATAATTTGTTGGAGAAGAAAAAATAAATGAAATATTAAGTTTTAAGGGTAAAAATGTCTATCAAACATAAAAGGAAGAAAACATGCCACTTTTAATATAACTAGGAGGCAAATGTGGATACATGAATAACTAAGAGAGAAAAAGTGTTAAAAGTATATACCTAAAGAGAAAAAGTGTCATTTATAATAAATATTTGTTAAAAATATAATGTTGGACTAAAATTAATGAAGGTGGTGCAAATAGCAATTTTTTATTTACACCACCTAAAAGTTATCACACCTATTAAATAAGTGGTGTAAATAGCAATTAGGGTGGTGCAAATAGAATCTCCCTTTCACTATTATAATGTATAGATGTACCTTATTTGAAACCCTAAAAGGCTAAAAGTGTTCTAGTATTTACCCGTGCAAATATTTCCAGCAAATGTTATAGTATTTACATGCAAATATTTACGCACATGTGTCATGTATATATATTCGTATATTTCTATACATATGAAAATAAAATAATTTTTGACATGTTTACCTATGGTTTAAATAAGAGGTATGAAGTTTTATTACAACCTCAAATTGTTCTTTATACCATCACAAGCTGCCATAAGTGTTCACTTCCTAAATCCACTATAAGAACAAAGTTTGCACTCATGATACAGTTAACTTTAGCACAAGTGTTTTCAAAAAAAAAAAAAAAAAAAAAAAAAAAAAAAAAAAAAAAAAAAACTTTAGCATAAGTGTTTATTCTGCCCTTATAAACATTGACATAAGTGCTTATTTAAGTTCAAAACTGATGAACTTAAATATACAATTGACAGACTTAACATGTTAATTATGCCCTTATAAGCATATATAAGTTTTCATTTCCCAAACTGTTCTTCCCATTCTCGTTTGGTAGAAAAGATATTTTAATACTGCAGTGTAGAAAAATATTACACCGAAAAAAACATTCAAATTAAAGTAGACATATAAAATTTTACAAAAAACAAAAAATAATATTTATTGGTGTCTACATACTTTCATACAATAAAATCCGACTTTATAATTCCAGAGGCTTGAAGGTCTGAGGGCTTCAATAATCTCTCATATCCAAGTGTATGTCTGGAACATGAAGTGTTGCACTTTAAAGGTTTGAAAGGACTGAAATTATGATAAAAGTAATAGGCAATAGAAATATAACAGTTATGGTAAACAAATAAAACAAATACCCAAACTTTTTTTTTTTTTTTGTCCAGAACCAAGTAAACCAAATAATATAAAACATATAATGTTTTCCCTTTCCAGAATCATCAGTCTCTCTATGCAAGTTTCTCATTCTTGACAGTCCCAACCATAGCCTTTCCAATCAAGCTTTCCCGTTCAGAAGGAACATAAACATATTCCCAAGGAACATCATCACTCGAAATAGTTGCATGTATGTATGTACCCTATATATTAGAAAATAACATTGATTTATTAATAAACAATTCATATGATCAGAATAGATATAATTGTATTATATGTATTAACCTTACCTCTTCGTATTGCTCTCCTCGTATGTTCTGACCAACCGGACTCGTATTACTCTCCTCATATGTAGACAAGGCTAACTTGAGAAGCAAGGATGTATTGGGAGGGCATTTTCTAACAGAAATCGCATAGTTTATGTTTGAAGAAGAGTTAATTCCAGCAATATAATAGTCCTCCGACTATATTGATTTTCCAAAATTAGTCCCTGACTTTTAATTTGGACACTTTACATCCCTTGACTTTCAATTTCTTTCCAATTGAGGTCCTTTCGTCAGATTACGGTAAAATGGACTTTAAATGAAAGGGTAATGTAGCCATTTCGTCTGTCTAATGTATAATTCTTCGTATTTCTCCCTTGTATGCGCGACTTCGGACATCATATTCACTTAATTGCTTAATCACTAAATCCACTCGAAGAACAAAATTCCGTTAGGGATTAAGCAATTAAGTGAATCTGATGCTCGAAGTTGCGTATACAAGGAAGAAATACGAAGAATTATACATTAGGCAGATGAAATAACTACATTACTCTTTCATTTAAAGTTCAATTTACCGTAATCTAACGAAAGGACCTCAATTGGAAAGAAATTGAAAGTCAAGGGACGTAAAGTGTCTAAATTTAAAGTCGAGGACTAATTTTGAAAAATCAATATAGTTGGAGGACCATTACTGGAATTAACTCTTTGAAGAAGCTTTCGTATGTGCAGTAGACTATATGAACTTTGTACTATTTATAGGAGTGTTTTGATTCTGCAAATACATGCACCATTATTTATTAGTTATTTACTCCATCTGTCTCATTTTATCTGTCTTACTTTCCTTTTTAGTTTATCCCAAAATGTTATTTTCTTTCAAAAATTGAACATCACCATCATTCTACTTTTTTCGAATTACCCTCTATGACTTTTACTTTATTTATTGTTTTTATTTCCAAAAGTGAGGGACATAATTAGAAAACACATAACATTTACTTTAATTACTTAAAAATCATATAAAAAATAAATAAACCGTCTATGAGGTGTAATTTAATGCCTCCAAGACTCTAGGTATTAGGGTATTATTATAATTTGAAATTTGATATAATATAGTGTACCAACATGTCGTTTTAATGATTTATAATTGCGAGTTTTATTTTGAAAATGAACAGACACAGTATTCAAGGTTGTGTCATCAATAACCATGAGGGATTAAATATTTTGCAATGAAAATCTCAATAGTTTTAATAAAGGGAAAATGACACTTGTTCCCTTAAATTATATATTTATAGTATTTTTTTCTGAATTATTTATGTAAGCATATTAATCTCCTCAATTATTTTAAAAGTGACTATTTTTTCTTTTGATATATTAAATTAACATTTCTATCTTAAAATAAATATTTTATTTATTTTTCTTCTCCAACAAATTATTGCGTATACGTAGGGATGACCACGGTTTGATTCGAATTGAATCCGACACTATAGCAATCGAATTAAAAATTTCCGGTTATGATTCAAATTTAGAACCCAATATTTGAATTTCAATTTATTAAAATTATGAATCGAAAAAACTACATCCTGAACCGTGAACCGGTGGTTCCGGATCCGGTTCGCGATATTAAAATATGGCAATGATTTAAAGTCGTGGGACCAAATATGAAAATTTTAATAGTCGAAGACAAAATGTGGCAATGATTTGAAAGTCGTAGGACCAAATCTGAAAATTTAAATAGTTGGGGATCAAATGTGGCAAGAATTTAAAAGTCATATGACTAAATCTGAAAATTTTAATAGTCGAAAACGAAATGTAAAAATAATTCCGTACTCGTGGGATTTTTTTTTTATTATTTTTTTTTTTGTGTCAAGAGTTTATTTTCCTTTTCTTTTTTCTCACATTTCTTCTTCTTCTTCTCTATCCCTTCTATCTCTCATACTTAGCCCCTCAAAAGTCATTTCAAAAACCCTACTATTGAGGTTTCTCTTACAAGTTACAACAGATGCTATAAAACTGTCATTTTTCAAAAATTGTATCGTTTGATTACATTCTAGAAAATTGTCTTGATGTGTTTAATTCATTTTCCTTCGTCGATGTAGCCTTGGTTCGGAAAATATAAAGATTTTTCCCAGTCAATGAAAAATATTTTCCGTTGACTAATTACTTAGTGCATCCAAACATTTGAAATTATTTTCTGGATTTTCAAACACACACTCAATTACTTTAAAATTACAAATATAGTCTAATAGTTTTTTTTTTTTTTTTTGTCAAGTCTGGACTAGTGTCCTTTCACTCACTAGTACAAAATGGAGCAAAGAAATATGAGTTTATGCTACCCTTCTTTAAATAAGGGTAGTGTATTATTTTAAAAAAATGAGACGGTGGCATAATTGTAAATAAATCAATAAGAAACCGCTACCCTTTTTAAAATAAGGTAGCGGATTTCCCAAAAAAAAAAAAGACGAAAAGAGTTTCCGTTGCCCTTTCGCGTAGCAAGGGCAGCGGATACTTATATTAATTTTTAATTAATATAAATATCCATAACGATATCTAAAAAAAATAATATAAAAAAAAATCAAATTTCAGATCGATCGAAAACCCTCACAACCCTCGTTCAATACAGTCGTTCTCCGTCCTCACCTCACCGCACCTCACGACAGTCTCCGTCCTCACATCCCTCCCGGCGAGGACACGCCTCACCTCACCTCACCAGCGACTCCTGATGAGGACATTTTTCACACATCCATCAAGTATCAAATCACAGTATAGAGTTTAGATATCGTTCCACTGGAGATGGCTCTTGTAATGTTAGGAATTGATGTAAAGTGGAGTTAAGCACAAGCTAAAACTACCCTTTTAGAAGCTAGACCTATCGATAAAGAGTTGGTTTGATATGATTAAGCTAATAACAAATAAGACAAGTAAAACAAAGGACCGTGACTTGGTTGATTCAAGCTAAGATGTCAAATATTGTTCTAAAGATTAGGGAATTAAACAAGGCACAGGGTAAGTGAGATGCACAAAAGTGTCCAAATACCACTCTCGTAGCTATTTGGACTTGCAACCTCACATTGAACTCCACTCTCGTGGCAATTCAACCCAAGGTTGCCCAAGCAAGAACACAAGGCATAAATTCTCCTTAATACCCGAAATACTCTCGTATTGGGCATTAAGTGTGTGAATGTGTGGCTAGTGTACAAGCTCTACTCTCATAGCAACAAACACACTCCAAATCAAGCATATAATTGGGATCCAACAATCATACACAAATTTCTCAACAAACCCATTTCACCCAACAACCCTAGATCACCCAAATAAACCCCTTTATGCAATACAACTCAAATAGGCATCAATAGCAAGAAATCAAACCAAATCCTAGTCACAAAACACTTAGCTACTCATAATATAACAATAGATACACAATATTAAAAGAGAAATTGAAAGCATAGATGAAAAGTAAAGAGAAGAGATGAATAAGAAAACTTCTCTATTGAAGTCTTGAAATCCAAGATTTGCAATGTTCTTGAGCTTGGAAATGGAAAGGAAACACAAATCTAAGCTATTCTAAACTAACCCTAACTAGAGAAATGAAAGGGAAATGAAAGATGTAATGAAAAGTATGTTTTGGGGTGGAAAAATCCTCTTAAAAGGGTAAAAAACGGGCTGCAAAAAGTTGCAGAGGGCTGGCCACGGGTGTGGCCACGGGCGTGGCTTCACCCGTGGCCAGAAATGCAGGGCACACTGCCCAGTGGCCAGACCCGTGGCCACAGGCAGTGTGCACTGCCTGTGCACTGAGGTCGTCTTCTAGGCCAGTTTTCACCTTCCAAACCTTTGAATTAGCCTTTGATGCTTGAATCAAAGTTGTAGCCCTTCAAGTTAGCTTTCCAATGATATAAAATTCACTTGGTTTGGACATTCCTACGCAGAGATATGATCAAAAAACTGAGCAGTGGACGATTTGTGCGGAAATTTCAACTTCTTGCTCTTTTGCTCCACTTTTGCCTTTGTTTGTCCAAATGATCAAGACCAATAAACACACCATAATTTGGCTCTCTAAAAGGTGTTTCTCCATCTTCATAGCTTCTCATTGACTCCCATTGACTCTACATGCATCCGAAATGCCCCAAAAATCACTCAATTCATCTAAATCATCAAGAATTACTCATAAGCACACAAATGAATCAAATGAAGATACTTCGGACAAAATTATAACAAATAACAAGAAAAATAAGCTTAAATGCAATGTGAAATTATAAACTTTTAGACTCTTATCAACTCCCTCAGCCGACGCTTGTCTCATCGATTCACCGCCGCCACGCCCTCATCCGCCGCAGCCGACACCTGTCTCATCGATTCACCGCCGCCACGCCCTCATCCGCCGTCTCCACAGTATGGTTTCTGCTTTTGTTTTCCCCTTATCTGTAGTTAATGACTTTTACATAACTTGTTCTCCAAGTGGTCGAAGATGCATATCTCTTATACGGAGGATTAATTTCTCTGATATTAAGTGGCTAAGCCATTATCTTTACTGAGGATTCAACAGAATTCCTTCAAAGCTTTTGAATCGGGGGATTTGAGGGGGGCACTCTTTTTCCCACGTAACTTACATAGGTTGCCAAGACTATTGCTGAGGTGGTGCGTATGTGCCACGCGAATGGAGTAATGCATAGAGACTTGAAGCCAGAGAATTTCTTGTTCGCGAATAAGAAGGAGAATTCTGCACTTAAAATTATTGATTTTGGATTGTCTATGTTTTTCAAGCCTGGTATGTTCAATTTTCTTTACTTTCCTATAATTTCTTGCATAAGGGTTCTATGAAGAAATTGATTTTAAATTTCGTGAATTTTCCACCTTTTTGTTTCAAACTTGGTTTGATTTCAATTTTGCTCTGTTATTTACTTGAGAGTTTTTACAATATCCAAATTTTTACATTTGTTTGTGACTTTAATAATGTCTAGGTAGCCTGTCGAAAGTTTCTACTTTCTCCTCAAATGGTTTAATCTGAGGTGGTTAATGTGTTTCTTTTTACCATTTGAACTTATTAGTAACAATTCTAATCCACAGCAGTTGAGGAAACATAGAAAGCTTGAATCTTTGGTTATCTTTCAGGGGAGAGATTTAGTGAGATTGTTGGAAGTTCATACTATATGGCACCCTTGGTGTTGAAGAGGAATTATGGACCAGAGGTTGATATTTGGAGCGCCGGTGTGATCCTTTAAATTTTGTTGTGTGGGGTGCCTCCATTTTGGGCTGGTATGGTTATCGACTTATCGTCAATAGTATGCAAGTCTTTTCGGGTTTGGCTGTATGTCGGGTTCAAGTCTCATCGTTGTTGCTATTGAATATGTGTGCTGCAGAAACCGAACAGGGGCCGGGGTAGCTCTTGCAATTCTACGGGGAGTGCCAAAAGCCTCATGAAACAGATGCTGGACCCTGACCCTAAGAAGCGGTTAACAGCCCAACAGGTGCTTGCCTGCTTGGTAAGTATAGTACGGTACTATTTATTTTAAAGTAAGAGTTGGTGGCATTCCATTAAAGTAAATGAAACTTCTCCTTATGTGTTGAACAAGGAAATTATTATGTACCAGGCTGGGAATTGAAATAATTGTTTGATGTTAGAAGTTGCAACCGTAGCGCTATAATTGCTTGGGCAAGGGTTTTACAGCACTTGAAAGCTCTAATCTTAATTATCCTATTAATGGTGATGTTGCTGTTTATCGAATTCTTTCCGTGGAATGAGAACATTTCTTGATGCCCATGTGGGGGTATTCTATTAGCAATGTGCATTGGATATTTAATTGGAAATAGTTCCTTGATTATATTTTGCAACACGTAGCAAATAAATTTATAAAACTTGAATTACTTTGAGTAATGCAGGTTTTGTGTCTACTAAGGCATTGTTTTTACTTAAGAGATGAAAAACTTTCCTTTGTACAACGAACATTTTTTAAAAACTTTTTTAAGTATAAGATTTTGGTTTTATTTATCAAATTGTTGAAACAGTGATTTCTTCTTATCTTAGCTTGTTGGTAGTATTTCTCTGAACTTTTATAAGAATTGACTGTTGGCAGGTATACACTAAATATATGGGATGTTGGGGGCCAAAAAACCATAAGGTCCTACTGGAGGAACTACTTCGAACAAACTGACGGTTTGGTGTGGGTTGTGGATAGTTCTGATCTTAGAAGGCTAGATGACTGCAGATATGAATTGCATATATAATCTTTTGAAAGAAGAGGTATACATATTCTTGGAGCTATCAATTTCTGCCTTGTGTAGTTGTGCATGCATACACACACACACACACTAATAGTTGCAACCTATAACAATATATATATGGTGTGCTTTTTGTTTTACTCTCCTCTCTTCTTCATTTTTCCTTTGGAATGTCTGGTTTCACCCTAAATTTGAGCTGTGTTTGTTTTTATAGATATAATGGACTCCTTTCAGTGTGAGGGTTTCATGCTATATTGTTTTAGGGAAAAATTTACATGCCAAGGTTGTTATAAATTGGTTTCAGAGCTAGCATAGATCAGGCAGTGCTAGAATATATGAACTGTGCACAACGCTTGCTTGAATATTATATAGAGGTCTGTGTATCAGTCTGAACAACCTATTCTCAAATATTCTATAGTATCATTCCAGCCTCATAAATGCACTTGAATGCTAGTAAGAGGTATATATATATATAGGCTTTGGATCCCATGAGGTCCTCTTGATAGATGAGATCATGAGATCTCATCTTATCCATTAATAAATTTTCAATGGATGGATAGGATTGAAAGTCAAATATCAATTAATTAAGGATAAATTTAAAAGGGAAGGGTGAAAGAGTAATTCTATTATGGTGTTTAATTTTGGTTATAATTAAAATAGAATTTTTACCATAATATAAGGGATTGTAATAATTAAGTCTATTGAAGCAGTAACGTGCCAACACAGGAATGTAAATCTATAATTTTTTTTTGAAATGATAAATCTGTAATTTTAATTTAGGTTAATGTTACGATGGTTTTTATTTGTCGGTGTATGCGTTACTTTATTCGGTCGTGTGCATAACATTGTGTTTTTGATAACTACTATAACATTGAGTGTGCATTTTTATGTTTTTTTTTTTTTTGGTCTTGTGCAAGTTTATTGAAATTACGTAACCAATAAAAAAAAAATTGTTTGTACTGGCGTTTGCATTTTGAATAGATAGTAAGTGCATAGTAGCTCTAGTATTGTGCTTGTCAATTATTTTTTTTCTTTCAAATTCCTACGTAGGTGTGTGAACGTTTTAGAGATGCGTGTGCGTTTGTGTGGTATGACGTGTGCAAAATTCCGAGATTTTTTTTTTTTTGTTTTTTGACGGTGGTGTGTGCTTTTATGTGGAAAGACGTTTGCAAATTTTTTTATAATGGTACTTTGTAACATGTAGGCCACGATTTTTTTTTACAAGTGGGTTGTTCATTTATGGGAATGACCTGTCCTTTTTTTTTTCAATGGAACATTGTAACATATCGACTAGCAAGAATATAAAATGGTGGTGTGAGCATGTATGGTATATTGCGTGTGCATTTTTACGTGTATGCAGTTATGTGGTATGGTGTGTTCATTTATTTTAGGCGTGTGCGTTAGAATAATATTAGGCGTGTGCGTTAGAACAGTTGGACTTGTGCATTACACTATAGCGTCATTTTTAAACAGAAAACGAAAGGAAAAATATTACATTTACTATCAACATTTTTGAGTTTACATTTACACAAATTGGCATGTGCATAACACGATAGGGATGGCAAGTGTAGAATGAATTATGTGTAACAATTAGGAACTCCGAGCACACACCCAACCACTATAGCGCACAAATCATTTTGAGTTTTTGGCGTGTGCGCTATTGCAGTTGGGCCTGTGCTAGTTCTCCACCTAGCACAACAAGTATGCCACTCTGTTAATAGTAGATAAGAGTAAGCAGGAGTATCCTCTAGATTACATTTACGTTCTTAGCAATAAAAAAAAAGTAATTACAAAAATAGAACTAAAACTGCTAAGTACTGTACGAATTATAATTATAACAAAATCATATGCATCTTGGTATAAAAGGTAATCCTTATCTACTAAAAACGAAAATAAACAAGAATGCAAAATGAGAACCCAAAAACAAAAAAAAAAAAAAACCTAACCATGACATTGCCAGCCAGAATCCAAAATGTGTTCCCAAATCCAAAAATAAGAAAACCCCATTACAGTGCTTATGATACCCATCTTATTTCTTTTTGAGTTTTTGGCGTGTGCAGTAGTACAGTTGGGCATGTGCGCGAGGCTGTAACATCATTTTTTACCAGGAAAAAAAAAGGAACAATACACAACCGTCCAAGGGAAATCCCAGGAAACGTGAAGCCGGGAAGAGTTTTACGCCATCCACAGCAAGCCCATCATCTGAAGCGTCCGAAGCGCGGGTCTACTTGGGTAGGATTGGACACGACAACAGGGGGAGAAACAAAGTCATCGGTCGATGAGATAGCTACCACAACATCTGGATTCTCTTCAACATTGTTCCCTACTAATACCCAAGCTTAATGCACAAACACACAAAAAAGGGTCTAAACACAAACACATCAAGAAAACAAATAATAATAATAATAATAATAATAATAATAATAATAATAATAATAATAATAATAAAAATGATAACGTAGTGTGCAACATATTCCATTGCGCACACACACCATAACTACCATGCACACAGCAAAACGCGATCATGTAAACGACATGCACATAGCAAAATGTGATAATATACACCTAAAAAAATAAAGGGTAGTCCCCACAAAACATAAAAACAAAAAACTACCTACGTTAGTGCACATACGACATGCTAGCACATCAAAAAGAAAAAAAACACAATTATAAATTATTTTACACTGTACTGTCATCTTTAAACAGTAAACGAAAAGAAAAATATTACATTTACTATCAACATTTTTTAGTTTACATTTAAGCAAATTGGCATGTGCATAACACGGTAGGGATGTCAAGTGTAGACGGTAGAGTGAATGATGTGTAACAATTAGGAACTCCGAGCACACACCCAACCAGTACAGCGCACACGGATCATTTTTGAGTTTTTGGCGTGTGCGTTATTGCAGTTGGGCTTGTGCTAGTTCTCCACCTAGCACAACTACAAGTATGCCATGTACTATCAACATCAGAATATGTTAATAGTGGATAAGATGAAACAACTTTAAGGTTATTGTAAATTGATCAACAGGAAATGATTGTATAGGGAAACCCAAATATAAATAAAAATATGGTGATATGCAGGCATTGGTTTTAACAGACGATGCATGCTAAGTTGTTTGTAGTGATCCTGACATTTCTACTAGTTTGATTCATGTAACAATTATACAGAGACTACTGCACCAAACTTCTTACCAAAGGTTTTCATGCTCAGCATATATTTTCTTGCATAAGGTTGCTGTATCATTAAATCCATCTTCCCAATCCTGCACTGTAGGATAATTCTAGATTCAAATGGCTGGTAATATCATAAAAGCATATATACAGCTGTGTATTGTCATAAAGATCCATATAGCTAGACTGAGTTATTTAAAAATTAAATAAATAAAGAATGTTTCCAGATAATAGCTAGACTAAGGAACAGTGAATTTCAGTCTAGAAGGGTATTTGCAACTAAAATGCATACAACCAGTAATTATTATACCACATCACACGACCATTTAAGAACTTCCATTAGTTACTTTTAACTCCAATCCAATTAAACCGGTATTTTCATTAGAGATAAAAAAATTTTATTGTAAGTCAACACACCCATTTTTCTCCAAATCCTCAAATTTATGTGAAAAATAACAAAATGTTGAAAGAAATAACAACTGACAACGAAGAATGACTACTCGTAAATAATTGACAGAATATAGTAAAAATATTTATTTTTCTCAATCAAGTTTAACAGACTCAAATCATACCAAAATAATAATGAAGTTAATATCTGATTACAGAAAACAATTTAATTAATATGATGGAATGAATATACTTAAAATTAATGTTACTGTGTATCCTCAGATGCATGTATGAATACAAACTACAGTTGGGGGAGGGGGACACATGTTCTGTTTGGAAGTCCATATAATATGAATACTTAAAATTATTTTGTTTTGGTGGTTTGTGTATAGTATCATCAACCTTTAACAATTGGCTCTAATTGGAAGTCCATATAATATCATTTTGATATACAGACCATCATTCAGGCCAAAGTTCAGATTATTTTTCCTGTTTCTCTTATGTTGTTTACACCGGATTCATATTTGACATTCAGAGATTCATTGACTTTGCTGCACATTATTACTTGAATTGTCCTTTTGAAGATACACAACACTAATATTTGCAGCTAATTGGTTTTCAGGTTATGTAGCATTGATATTCAACCCATCTTAAGAATATATGAATATATCTCACACAAACCAAAATCAAATGACATCTATTCATAGGCACACACCTAATTCACCAAAGCACAGACCACAAAACACACATGCACCCACCTAAAAAATACAGACTCTAAAGAAAACCAGATTATTAAACAGGAACATAAATTAAAAAAAAAAAAAAAAAAAAAAAAAACCTATGAACCCTGGAGATAAAACCCTACAGTGGTTCACAATCACCGGAGCACTACCGAGGCGCCGACAACTGCCGTCGCTAGAGAACGACATTCACCAGCGGCAGAGTCAGACACTGTCGGACTCCATAAAACTCCGGCGAGTGTCGACTACTGTCGGCGACATCGCCCACAAACGACCGGTGTCGACTCCTGCTGGCGAGCGGTGAGTGCCTACCGGAAACCAACCCTACCCACAACCCCAAACCCATCATGCGATCAAGCGAACACCAAAAACGATGAACAACAATAAGCAGGAAAATACCTTGAACAACAATTGAAGAAGTACTCATTCGACGCTTAGATTGCCTGGTGGTTGAGCCAGCCATGGAGATTGAAGGGCTATGGACACCGGCAGGAAGAATTTCAGAATCCTGGGCCACGACTCGTGTACTGCATATTCACCGAGAAAAACGCAAAAAGGTGCGACTTTTGAAAAGAACAGAAAATGTAACGCATAAGGAAAGGAGAATCACGAGTGATCTACACACGGTAATACAATTAATGACATTATAAAATTACCCATCTACCCCTAAGTATATGGGATACCAGCCATTTACCAATAAAATAAACTATCAATCTAAACCCTTCAAATATAGAAATGGATGCTCATGATCGAATCTCACGATCTTACCTGAATATAGTGACCTCACTGGATTCAAAATCTATATATATATATATATATATATATATATATATATAAAAGCTAGAATATGATGTTATCTTTAATTGCTTAAGCACTTTCTTGGAATTAGCATCACCTAACTGGTAGGATCTTCAATAATTCTCCAGATTCAAACAATATTCAAGAAAGCAAAATGCTTGGAGATCTAGAAGAGGTGAATTGAAGCTCCTTTGGCAGTCATCATATTTTATAATTATTTTTACCTTTCTTTTCACTTTTGGTTAAAATTGTTTAGGTAATGTGTTAACTTATATATTTGGATGGATTGTGAGAGTATTGTATGTGTTGAAAGTATTTGGATGGATTATGAGAATGTTGAAAGTGTATTATTGATAATATTGTGTTTATCAATGGTTAGTATTGTGTTTATAATATTTTATTGATGGTTAGCATTGTGATGATATGTAATTTGTGAATATAATTTTGTACGTACAGGATTTTAAAATTTTTTTGGGGATTTTATAAATAAAAATTAATTTTAAAATAAAAAAGTAATCCGCTACTCTTTTTAAGAAGAAAGGGTAGCGGATGAATTAGAAGAAAAAATATAAAAAAAAATTATATAATAGCATCCGCTACCCTTCTGTCTGAAGAAGGGCAGCGGATAGTCTACTAATACGCTACCCTTTTACAAGGGACGCGGAAACCTTAAGGGTTTCTGCGTCCCTCACATCCGCTACCCTTGTACAAAGGTAGCGGAAAGCCCTTTACAAGGGTAGCGGATGTGCAAATCTGTACTAGTGACTACAAAAAAACGTGAAAATACTGACGAATTTAACGACGGATACATTCCATTGTTAAAGTAGCGACGGAATGTTAGGTATGCACATATGCTAATGATTTTTTTGATCGCTTGAGACTCATGACATGAGGTATGGGAATCCAATTCTATTATTGAGAGTTTTTTGACATTTCTCTTACATTGTCATGTTTGGCCAATCTAATATAATTTTCAGTCATCAATAATAACCAAAATTTAGACAAGTGTTTTATCTTAAAAAGTAAAATTTTTATTTTTTGTTCTCTTTCCGAGAAGTTTAAGAAAAAATAATAAAGATGACAATTTTACCCTTTAAGATGAATTAGATCAAATGGACTGTGACAACAATTTAAAAGTCAAGAGACTATAAAAAAAAATTAATAATCAAAGACCAAATTAATAGAGAACGAACTTCGATCTAAATTTATTTTCAAACATTTGCATAGACAAATTTATTTTCAAACATTTGCATAGACATAGATATAAATTAAATATTAACAGTATACTTGTATTGTAATAACAGCTCGATTTGGCATGTGCAAATAATTTTCAAAACCTAATGAACAAAAAATCCAAACCTCTAACTCACATTCCTCACTCAAATTCAGACCAGATGCAATCCCCATTCCCCACTACTAACTGTCTGCTGTAGGGAGGATATTTGACGCAGCAGTCCAAATTAAACCAACCTTCACTGCTGAAAATTATCATTTTTCTGACCACTTTTCCGACCACTCATAAAAATGGTCGCAAAAAGTGAAATTATTTTAATTTTCCGTCAAAAGATTGGGTTGGACAGAAAAATGTTGGATTTTCCGACCACCTTCTATTTGGTGGTCGAAAATGGTCTTTAAAAAAAATAGAAATTATTTATTGTATATAATGCTAAGATTAGACGTTAAGACTTGAGACTTGAGACTTAACCCTCATTTCATTTCATTTCCGCCGCTCATCTATTCTCACTTCTCACCTAAAAAAGCTCTCGCATCTCTGTCTCTCACCATCGCCGCTCAGTTCCGTTCATCGCTCAGTCTTCTCCGTCTGCGCCTCTCCACCCGTGGCTTGTCATCGACATAATATACGGAAGATATTTCCTCTCTTTCTCTCCCTCTTAGTAAGTGTTCTATGTTCATATTCGTTCTCTCCCTCAAATCAATCTTATTTGCGAATTTAGTGCTTCTGTGAATCTTTTCCTATCTATTCCTATTTGAATCTTTGCTTGTGACTTTTGCAGGATCAGAAGCCAAATGCTTCGTTTACTCGCAAAGCGTCAGTGAACTACACAAAGACACCTTCTCGTGAATCTTTGTAAAACAAGGTTTGTTTCTAGTTTAAAGCCTGAATGCTGTAATTCATGTTTAATTTTGTCCAAAATCTTCACTGAGTTTACAGTTCTTCTGCTTCTTCCTGCTTTAGTTCTGCTTGGTCAGTGGTTTAGGGTTGGTTGGTTGTAGGGTTCGGTGGTATGTTACTTGTATGTTAATTTTACATAGTAGTTGCTTCCACAGCTTTGAAATTAGTTATTTAGCTATCTTATTTGTGTTTTGTTTAATCAAATTTCTGGTTTGTGAGGTCTGAAGCAGCATTTCTTGGCTAGAATACTGGTATCTCCTTTAGGTCACCTAATTTTTAAAAGCTTTTGAGAGGAAAGTCGAAGTATAAATGTGCAAACAGAGGCTTATTGTCATTATTGATTTATTTGTTAACCAGTACTATGAGGAGACATAGGAGATAGATAACCCTTGTATTCTGATTTTGATTTCGACTCAATTTGAACTGAATTGTGGTTATCTATGATCTAGTAATTTTTTTTCCTTTTCTTGCAATTCAGGAAATTTACTGAATTATTTGGTTTTACAGAGGTAAAATAGCTCACTTCTTGACTTCCGCGGATCAAATTTCTGTTGTCCAGCAACACAAACAGAAGACAGAAGACAGGGAAAGATGAAGAACAAAAGCAGCTAATTAAAGAATGTTGTACACAGCCAGAAGAAACTGAGTAACACCAAGTTATTTTTTTGAGATGAATCTGTTATTTTTTTGAGATGAACAAGTTAGCAGATTTTTATGATGTGCTTTAGTTTTAGCAGCATTTACGAGTCTTAATGATGTGCTTTAGTTTTGTTTCTTTGACATGACTCTTATGGTAATTCTTATTGCATTCTAGGTGAATCCCCCTCTTCTACCTCAGTGCCTCTGATGTTGATAATTTAAACAATCCATTGGCTGTAGACAACAATCCTTAGCTAAAGGTGAGTGTTCAGTCTTTCTGAGATCGTCTGCTTCACATTTTGATATTATTTTACAGCAAGTAGCTTACAAAGAGAATCTGAGATTGCTTGCTTCACATTTTGGAAAGATTCAGTAAGTAATTGAAAACCTTGCAGCCTTGTAACCCAGCTGTTGGTGGGCTTGCAAAGTCCCAGCTCGTACCTGAAGTGGACGCATTAGGTGGTGAAATTGGAAAGGTAGCTGACAGGTAAATCCCAACTAAGAAATTATGTTATAATGCTTAAGGGAGCAAAGACTGAAGTATATTAGCCTTCCTGCTAAAACAGAGGCCAAGATGTACTCCCATGAACTTAATGGGGGTTTTTTTGAATGCGGACTTTCATTTGTGTTAGGGAAATATGTTAGCTCATTATACAAACAAGATGAGTTTTACGAGGCAAAAAAAAACCATCTAAATTATGATTGTGTACTCATCCCGGTGGTAAAATTTTATCCAGCTATTTCATAAAGATTTGAGCCTTTTTCTTTTCTTTTTTTTCTTAATAATTCATTCTTGCTTAAAGAAAATGCTGCATAATTTTCTTGCTCTTCCACAGCTTTGGATTTCTTTTTCTTGCTCCTTTGTGGAAGCTTGGCTAGGTGCTGTATCAACATCCATAGACTCATCTACATCTCCAGTAGAGGTAAGAACAGTGATACAGTACTCATATTATTAACACAATTTGAGAATATAGAATTATTCAGATTTTAAAATATTATTAAATTAATGTTTATTATTTTCTATCTATTGTTTCAGTTTGATACCAAACTGAAATAGTTGTTTTATATGGCTAATATATCGGAACATCGCAAATGGATGTACAACTAATTGATGCCAAGAAAGAGGGGGGTACACTGATGAGTTCATAGCAGGTATTTTTAAAGATATTTTCTTAATCAGACTAAAGAGCAAGATCAAGGATCTGGAGTCAGAAAATGAGCTTCTCCACACTCAAAGAGTAGTTGTAGAGCATGTAGCAAACTCAAACCAAGCAGATTCAGCATTAAAGGTAACAACATGCCAATATTTATTTCTTTCTGAGTAGTGTTGGATGTAAAACTTCTATACAACTCACACTGTCCCTCAATGACTAGCAAATTGAAAACCGATACCAAGTTCATGAAGATGTGAAGACAGAGGAAGTGCAACAAGTGACAAAAGTGGAGCAACAAATAATAAAGGTACATTAAACTTCCAAGTGATAGTTTCCATGGAAGGAGAGCAACTGCTATCGGATTTTACTGTTTACTTATAATAATGAGGAAATCTGTGACTGCCTGTAGGATTCCTATCCTCCCATCTCTTTAACAAAACAAAGATCACTGACAGATAGGCAGCATGCAAGTAGTAGAAACATATGAGAAGAAGAAAGAAGAAAGTAGCACAAAAGATATCTAAGGTAAGCTGAATAGGAGGAAGGGAAGCAAGAAAGAAAATGAGGGATCAAGATTCGGTCACTTCTCACTTCCATGGAGAACTGTTGTTACTCTACAACTTGAGAGTGCGAGGCCTCCCTCGTAAGGATTATATAAATTCCAACTTCTCATAATGGAATCTTGTGTATTGCTTTTATTGTTAATTCTCTTGCATAACCAGTGTTTATAATCTTTGACAGCTTTGTATATAATGTCTTGAAGAGGTTCTTATCTGAAGAGACAGCTGAATCAATCAAAGGCTTGACTAAGGTAACCTACTACTCCATGGTACATGAGTTTTGAATAAATCTCATTAGTAATAGGAGAGTATTTAGCTTACCATATCCAAGGTTTGAGCTACAATTGCCTTTTGTTTATACTTGAGAAATTGCTTTCATTTGACCTTAATAATAGTCCCTTTATTTGGAGCTTTTGTTGTCCAAGACTTTAATAGTTATTATCCATTTATGGTTTAGAACTTTATATAGATGCTTATAACTCATTTGTAGTAACACTTAAGAATAGACCAATAGTTAACAATTTATTAATTTATTCTCCTCAAATTAGTATTTTTAAATTTGGGTAAAAGCTAAAGCTTTGTTATGTCTGAATGAGTTGGTTGATTCCATGTGTTTAACAAATGAGGCAATGATGTTGAACTGCATTACTCCATTTAAGAGAGCTCTAACCATCCCTTGTTAGATATTTAAAAATAGAGTGCAATTCAAAATCTGAGATGAAACATGATAAAGCTAGCTTGTTAATATATTTCTGCTTCTTTCAGCTGCCTAATAGTGAAAATGCCTAATCTGCAGAAGGACACTAGAAACACTGATGATTGAACAGGCTGCTTCCATACTTCAAATATGTCCTGGGAACTTGTGTCTTTTCTGTTTATACATTTAGAATTAAGAGACTAATAGAAATGCCATATTTTGACTTGTTTTAAATTTTCAACTGTATATCGATGAATGAATTCTCTTCAAGCATATGAAATGTGTATTTTATGTTTTTCAGCAAATATTTTACCAGCTTGGAACAATATATATATATATATATATATATATATATATATATATATATATTGATTTCATTACAGAGGATTCCTCTGTAGTGAAATGAATTTTTTTTATTGACTGCGTCCAGTTTTCCGACCACCAAAGTGGTCGAAATTTTCGACCACCGGTGGTCGGAAAATTTGGACCCGCCTAACTATTCTCTTGGCCATTTTTTCCGACGGTTTTAGAAAAGTGGTTACTCTTTCCGACCACTCTCTCTGGTGGTTGGAAATAGCTAGGGGGATTTTTCCGGATACCCAAATTGGTCGGAAAAGAGGTCGGAATAGGCGTTTCCGACCTAATTAAGGCTATTTCCGACCACTTTTCGGTGGTCGGAAAATAGCAAATTTTCAGCAGTGTTTGGCCCCCTTTAACTGCCAATTATTAGATCATTCACATACAATATGTTGGTTCTATTAAGGATCTTTAACTGTCAATTTAATGCTTCGAGACAGTGGAAAGTGGAAATTGCATTAAAAGAAAAGAAAATAAAGAGGAGTTGCAGATATAGAGAAGAAATTGAGGGAGAATAATGATATTAATTAAAATCCTATTAATCCATATTTATACAAAAAGATAAGATGGATGTCCAATGAGTAATAACAAAATTATTATTCTCTAGCTATATAATATAAGGAGCTCAGGTCAGGGGTGGGGTGTTATAGATTTGAGATGAGAGGCTGGCGCAAAATGAAGGGGTGACCCAACAGATCCTCCGCGGTGGGCCGATTCTGAGGATGTATCTCCAAGCAACATGCAATGAAATTTCTTAACTCTGGCGAAATCCCGGCCGGCATCAGCCTCACTGGCTGAGATGCTGAAATGGCAGTCTCGATGGCGGTCCTATATGAAGTTGGTTCTGATAAGGAGTCATCTAATAATGGATAGTTTCCCACATATAACTCCCAGATGCTCATCCCAAAGCTCCATATATCCACCGCATATGCATAGGCTTTGGGTAGTCCGTGTTGCTGGGTGAAGTAGTCGTGAATCCTCTCAGGGCTCATGTATCCCAGCGTTCCGGGCAAGAGTTTGCATGTTTCCTCCTCGTTGAGGATTTTCGAAATCCCAAAATCAGCAATCTTTACCACGCCTTGAGAGTTGAGGAGGAGATTCTCAGGCTTGATATCATTATGAACAATGTTGCGGGTGTGGAGGTAGTTGAGAGCTGAAAGAATCTGTTTGGCCACGAAAGAGAGATAGGCTTCATCTGGAAAGTATTTCCCTGAGAGGGAGAGGAGGTCCATATACTCGAGGAGCAGTTGGAGACCTTCATACTGATAGGTAGCTTCGCCATCAATCCTGTAGCCAAAGAATTTGATGATGTTGGGGTGGTCGAGATTTGAGAGTAGCTGGATCTCGGTGCTGAATATTTGACGGCTAAATTTTCCAAGTCCAAGGCGCTGCCTCTTCAAAGCATAGTCCTTGCCAGTAGGCGGGTGGGAGGCCTTGTGCACGTAGGAATCTTCTCCCCAGCCAAGAAGGTTGTCCTCGTCGATCACCACTTCCGAGATGTTGATAGGATGATTAGGAGGAGGAGTGGGGAGAGTAAACGGAGGAGCGACGGAGGAGTAAAGTGGAAGGCTTTGGTTAGCTGAATTGGGAGCCGCCATGGAGGTGGAAGCTAGCGGGAAGAGATCGAGATCCGATATCAGAGAGCGAGCTAGGGCTTTTAATTTTGAAAGAGGGATCGGAACTCGGAAGAGACTAGATCAGAGAGGCCGTATTGTATATATAATAAATATATGCATGCACGCACCAACAAATCCATATATATTGGGATTAGGAAAATAATTCTGTTTTGAAAATTTATGTCCAATTTGATACGGAGTATTATTATTATTATTTTTTTTAATAGAGTTAATACCCAAAATCGTCCTCGACTATAGTGATTTTTCTCAATTTCGTCCTAAACGACTTTGGTGACCTAATATCGTCTCAGACTTTTGTGTTTCGCTCAATTTATTCCTCCATTTGTTATTTCGTCAAATTGGTGTTAAATAAAGGAACAATTCAGTAAAGTCAATATTGATATCTCTTTACTTTCAACTTGTGAAGTGCGAAATTCATCTTTCTTGTACGAATTACACCCAGAATTACTCCCGGACCTACAATTCAAATTTTATATTCGCAGTTTTAGGAGTAATTCTGGGAGTAATTCGTAAAAAAAAAAAAAAGGATTTCGCAGTTCACATGTTTATAAGTAAAGAGATGGCAATATTAAAATTACTGAATTGTCTATTTATTTAACACCAAATGGACAGAATAACAAATGAAGGACTAAATTGAGCAAAACCACAAAAGTCTGGGACTAAATTGAGCGAAACACAAAAGTCTTGGACGATATTAGGTCACCAAAGTCGTTTAGGACGAAATTGAGAAAAACCACTATAGTCGAGGACGATTTTGGGTATTAACTCATTTTTAATATTATTTTTAGTCTTTTGACTATATTAATATGTCTCAGCTGCCTTATTAGGAATAAGGGTCAAATAGGTCATTCAAACACACACAATAATGCAATTAGCTCATTGAATTTTAAAAAACAACAATTAAGTCTCTAAACTAACTAATTTCATTTAATTAATTCAATTTACAGATTTTTTCAGGTTACTAATAGGTCATTCCATTTTTTTTAAATTGTTATTTAAAAAAATTATTTAAACTTAAAAAGAAAAAACGAATAAAGTCTCCACCGGCATCAACATTCTCATATTATTGCTTCTATTAGCATTTTCTATTCTCTCTTTAGTACCTTCTCACAGATTGTTTAGATGAGGATGAGAATATTGTTTCTTCTATTTTTTTTTCTTCCCTTTTGTATCTAAGCTGGGCATGTAGGATCTACACGCTCCAGCTTACGGGGGGGTGTTGGAGGATGAAAATAGCATAGGGCTATTTTTGTCAATCCTCCTAATCCTCTTCTATTTTAACCACTTCATATATATCTTGTCTTCTCTGTAATACACACTTGATCAATAATATCATCTTCTTCTCTCGGCTTCTTCTCTCTGCTTCATCATGTAGTCCATATTCCGACAATGACTTTACCTCTCTGGGTGAGTGCATTGTTTCCTTTGCTTCATGGACCATGATGCCCTTTCATCTGCCATGTTCAATAATTTATGTAGTTAGTTCTTTATTACCCACATAAATTTATTTTTCTCTGTTATTTTGTTTAAGCTCTAACAATGTCATTCTAACTACTTTCATTGGCCTTATTTTATCCTTTTACTTTTTGAGCTATGTTTCCTATATCTGAATTCCTTGCAGTTCGAGAGCTGGTGAAATACATGATAGGTAAACATACCCGTTTGAGTTTTCAACTGTTGAAATGCCTTATGAGACGTACAATGGGGTTAATGTCCGTCTTAGGTAGGTTTGTCACATGGGACTTTTACTTTTGCAAAATGCATGGCTTTGATTTGTCTCTCCTTTCATTAACCTAGAATTCAAATTTAACAAGTTCAAGCACTTTCTAAGGAGCTGCCAAGATGTTGACTGCTAGATGCTTCATTTGATCAGAACGATTTGCCAAATCCATGCATATATTTAACTATGTTGAGCAAAAATAGTTTATGGACATGGTCTGAAAAGAATAATGCATTATCAATGTTTGCAAGGAGTAACGTTTGCTTGGTTCTACTTTAACTGGAAGGACCATCATTTATGCAACAAAAGAAATTGAATCGGCAGGCACAGAGTATAGAGATGTGTATAAAGTGGCCCGAAATCAACCGTGCCATTGGCAAATTATGATAAGAGAATCTTCAGTGTTTCACTGATTTGCAAAGGAAATTGAACGTATACAACTATACTCACTAAACACAACATCAACATTAATAGAATATTCACAGTGTATACAACTATACTCACTAAACACAACTATACTGGCCGAGTAACAAAATTGAATGTATACAACTATACTCACTAAACACAACATCAACATTAATAGAACATTCACAATGTATACAACTATACTCACTAAACACAACTATACTGGCCGAGTAACAAAATTGTGCTCGGTGAGTGTAGCTACGGTGCTTCTTTGCTGTGCATTTACATTTAGGCAAGAATTGAGGAAGTCGATTAACTCATCCGTAGCTCAGGGCACCTCCTGCAGCGGGAGGGAATCAGTAATAGCCCTCCGAATAGTGTCTAGATTAGCACTAAAATCAACACCGACGAATGGGTAGTGGCCTACAAACAACTCCCAGATGATCATTCCCATACCCCAAACATCTTGCTGAAAAAGAGTTAGGGCATTCAATCCCCTTCTGGAGCTGGCAGCTTGTATTGCCTCGGGGCTCAAATATTGAGCCCCGTGATTCGGAAGAGCGGGCCTGACTGCCACCCGCTCCAAGGAGGGGATAACACGACTCATTGCAGCCTCTATTATCTTCGAGTGCCCAAAGCTGCAAAGCTTCACAGTCATGTTCTGGTTCACCAACACATGATCAGGTTGAATAGCCAGATGTGCTATTGATTTCTTGTGGATATGAGTTAGAGCCTCCAAAATCTTATTTGCCACCTTTGACAATTGGACCTCGTCCTGAATATGTAGTCCTCTGAGGGACTGGCCATTGATGTACTCCAGGAGAATCTCAGTATTACCATCGAACCAATTTTTCTCAAAATGATACATTCTAATTAGGTTTTGGTGTCGTCCAACCAGCTGAAGAATTAGTAGCTCGTCATTGTTTGTTGGCTCTTTCGGACAGTTTGTATGTGTTGTCTTCAAAATGTACTGCATATCAGCACCGGCCCTCCTTTTGCGAACTATAGTAACCTTCCCGGTCAGCCGTTCCCCAGGTTCCATTTCATGCAACCTGGGTTGGTGTTCGGGTCGGGGTCGGAGTGGACCGAATACTTCCATGGCTCACTGTCACAAGAAAAAAAAAGAAAAAGAAAAAGGGAATTAGTCTGTGACCAATATGCATCGATAGTAAACAATATTCACTCCTTTTTTTTTTGTTTGTTTGTTTTTTTTTTTGTTTTTTTTGTTTTTTGTTAATTTTTGGCAGCAATGATTTTTATTGAATATATGAAGGCAAAACATGCAGCAGTATAATAGATTTTATCTCTACTTCTCATCAATCAATATAATCTACGCAAATATTCAAAAAATAAAAATAAAAATCTACGCAACAATTATGCGCTATCTACGCGGCATTGGCCGCCGTAGACACCGAAAGTTTAGCAGCAGCAGCGCCGGCGCGGCCACCGCGGCGTTGATCTCTCTCATGAATCTCCATGCATTTCAGCAAATATTTAAAGGTCTCGATTTCGCACGGGATTATGAGCCCGCCACGGTGCTCAAACCCGAACTCCTCTTCCACTTTTTCCAGCAACACCTTGAACAGCGGATCGCTTAGATAGGTGGTCGGAATTATGAACCGCCGCAGCAGCTCCCCCCGCCCCACGTATACCCCCATGTACCCCTTCGGCACGTCCGCCGGCGCCTGCCTCTCGCAATCGGCGCTCTTTGCCGCCGGCGAAACGCTAGCCGTCGTCTCCACCGTTGTCGTCGTCGTCCTCCTTCCGGAATTGTTACGCGCGATGCGTTTCCACTTTCGCACGAATCCCATCAGCCTCACGATGCGGCGGATCCCGCACACCTTTCTCTTTTCCCCGACTAATAATTCTGCCATTCTGCTAACGGGGCGGCGGATAGACAGCGGCGAAGGAGAAATCTGGCGGCGACGGCAGCGGATAGACGGCGGCGAGGACTAGATCAGGCGGCGGCGGATAGATATATAGACGGCTGAAATTAAGAATAGAAATGCTACGATAGCTGCATGGCGCTTCTTTATGAATGTAGATTGATATGATGATGTTCAGAAATAATGAGGATAAAAATACTGCCAACACGTACTGCATTTACAAATTAAGATCAGATACATACACCAAGTTTACAAGAAATAAATTAGATGTACATACCGGAGCTTGTGGTTGAAGTCGGGCGGTTAGGAGAGGAAGGACAGCGTCGGTGAGTAGTGGCCGGCGGTGGACAACCAAGATTCTGAGAAGACTACAGGCATGCAAGAAATAAAATCAAGATACATACACCAAGTTTACAAGAAATAAATTAGATGTACATACCGGAGCTTGTGGTTGAAGTCGGACGGTTAGGAGAGGAAGGACAGCGTCGGTGAGTAGTGGCCGGCGGTGGACAACCAAGATTAGCTTTGTGTATGTATATATGTTGCAGTGTTTAGCTAGCTTGGAGGACTGGATCCTTTTTATAGAGGGTACAGTACATGTTAAGGTGGAAAGACTAATTTTATTTGTGGTTTTCCTTTAATTTTAATTTTTCAACTTGTGGTTATTCCCAGTGGGGGATTTTTTTTTTTAAAAAAAAAATTGGATTCTTTAGTTGCGAAACTACATAGAAGGAAAGGTATATGATCATGTGGAATTACTTGAGAATACAAAATATACTGGAGTATTTTTAAAAAAATATTTCTACTAAATTAAAGTTATTATTGTTTGAAAATGATAAGCGTAGTCACGAGAAATAAAAATCTAGCCCGCACAAGATTAGTTTAATTGTTTAATAGGGGTAGTATTTGAGAGAAGAAAATTTAAAATTTCATCCTCATAGTAAGACTTACTAGTATTTGCTCCGTGTGATGCGCGTGATGAAATTTATGTAATTTTATTATTAATAATATTTTAAAAAATTATAAAATCAAACATTAATCATCAAAATTCATTTTGAAATGTTTTTTTTTTTTGCAACACTAAATTCGTTGTTATATTGAATATCACAACATAGTATTAGAATATATTATAAAGTATTGTGTTATTAGATACTACATGAGATTTGAAGATTTTACATTTAAGTAATTCTATATATAAAAATATAAAAATATAAAAATATAAATATATAAATTAAATAAATAAATATACTACTTATATAAATTTAATAAGATTGGGCCGAAATGCCAAAAATTGGATATTGGGTAGCAAATTATTATGTTAAGAGTTTATGTATATTACGTTAAGAGTTTATGTGTGTTACGTTAAGAGTTTATGTATATTATGTTAAAATTATATGTATTATGTCAGGAGTTTATGTAAATTCTACTATATAATTATGTACATGTGAAACAGGAGATTTTTAGGATGCACAATATAACAATTGCTAAACAAACCCTGGTTGTCATACTGCGGACTTTCGTCTTCTTCCGACTGCGCTGCGAGCGTCCTTTTCTCTAAACTCACCCGATATCAATGAAAACCAACAAATGTTTTCGGTGATATGGCATTTCAATCAAATCGCCAGGAGACATCCACTTCGGGTTTTAAGTTACATATTTCATCTATTATAATGTATAGATGTACCTTATTTGAAACCCTAAAAGGCTAAAAGTGTTCTAGTATTTACCCGTGCAAATATTTCCAGCAAATGTTATAGTATTTACATGCAAATATTTACGCACATGTGTCATGTATATATTCGTATATTTCTATACACATGAAAATAAAATAATTTTTGACATGTTTACCTATGGTTTAAATAAGAGGTATGAATTTTTATTATTACAACCTCAAATTGTTCTTTATACCATCACAAGCTGCCATAAGTGTTCACTTCCTAAATCCACTATAAGAACAATGTTTGCACTCATGATGATAGCTTTTAATGTACAGTTAACTTTAGCATAAGTGTTTTCAAAAAAAAAAAAAAAAACTTTAGCATAAGTGTTTATTCTGCCCTTATAAACATTGACATAAGTGCTTATTTAAGTTCAAAATTGATGAACTTAAATATACAATTGACTAACATGTTAATTATGCCATTATAAGCATAAATATACAATTGACTAACATGTTAATTATGCCATTATAAGCATATATAAGTTCTCATTTCCCAAATTGTTTTTCCCATTCTCGTTTGGTAGAAAAGGTATTTTAATACTGCAATGTAGAAAAATATTACACTGAAAAAAACATACAAATTAAAGTAGACATATACAATTTTACAAAAAAACAAAACAAAACAAAAAACTAATATTTATTGGTGTCTACATACTTTCATACAACAAAATCTGACTTTATAATTCCAGAGGCTTGAAGGTCTGAGGGCTTCAATAATCTCTCAGATCCAATTGTATGTCTGAAACATGAAGTGTTGCACTTTAAAGGTTTCGAAGGACCTGAAATTATGACAAAAGTCATAGGCAATAGAAATATAACAGTTATGGTAAACAAATACCCAAACTTTTTTTTTTTTTTTTTTTTTTTTTTTGTGTCCAGAACCAAGTCAACCAAATAATATAAAACATAGAATGTTTTTCCTTTCCAGAACCATCAGTCTCTCTATATATGCAAGTTTCTCATTCTTGACAGTCCCAACCATAGCCTTTCCAATCAAGCTTTCCCGTTCAGAAGGAACATAAACATATTCCCAAAGGAACATCACCACTCGAAATAGTTGGCATGTATGTATGTACCCTATATATTAGAAAATAACATTGATTTATTAATAAACAATTCATATGATCAGAATAGATATTATTGTATTATATGTATTAACCTTACCTCTCCGTATTGCTCTCCTCGTATGGACTAAATGTGACAACAATTTAAAAGTCAAGAGATTAAATATAAAAAAAAAAAAAAAATTAATAATCAGAGACCAAATTTATAGAGAACGAACTTCAATCTAAATTTATTTTCAAACATTTGCATAGACATAGATATAAATTAAAGATTAACAGTGTATACTTGTAGTGTAATAACAGGTCGATTTGGCATGTGCAAATAATTTTCAAAACCTGATCTCAGAACTGCAAAATGAACAAAAAATCCAAACCTCTAACTCACATTTCTCACTCAAATTCAGACCAGATGCTATCCCATTCCCCACTACTAACTGTCTGCTGTAGGAAGGATATTTGACACAGCAACCTTAACTGTCAATTATATTAGATCATTCACAATGTTGGTTCTATTAAGGATGCTTAATGCCCCCTTTAACTGTCATTTTAATGCTTAATTGGAGACAGTGGAAAATGGAAATTACAGTAAAAGAAAAGAAAATAAAGAGGAGTTGCAGATATATATAGAGAAGAAATTGAGGGAGAATAATGATATTAATTAAAATCCTAATAAACCAAGATTATACAAAAAGATAAGATAGATGGATGTCCAATGAGTAATAACAAAATTATTATTCTCTAGCTAGCTAGCTAATATATATATATATATATATATATATATATAATATAAGGAGATGAGAGTTTGCAGGGGTGGGGTGTTAATGTGTTATAGATTTGAGATGAGAGGCTGGCGCAAAATGAAGGGGTGGCCCAACAGATCCTCGGCGGTGGCCCGATTCTGAGGATGTATCTCCAAGCAACATGCAATGAAATTTCTTAACTCTGGCGAAGTACCGGCCGGCATTAGCCTCAGTGGCTGAGAGGCTGAAATGGCGGTCTTGATGGCGGTCAAATATGAAGTTGGTTGTAATAAGGAGTCATCAAGTAATGGATAGTCTCCCACATATAACTCCCAGATGCTCATCCCAAAGCTCCATATATCCCCAGCATATGCATGGGCTTTGGGTAGTCCGTGTTGCTGGGTGAAGTAGTCGTGAATCCTCTCAGGGCTCATGTATCCCAGCGTTCCGGGCAAGAGTTCGCCGCATGTTTCCTCGTTGAGTATTTTCGAAATCCCAAAATCAGCTATCTTTAGCACGCCTTGAGAGTTGAAGAGGAGATTCTCAGGCTTGATATCATTATGAACAATGTTGCGAGTGTGGAGGTAGTTGAGAGCTGAAAGAATCTGTTTGGCCACGAAAGAGAGATAGGCTTCATCTGGAAAGTATTTGCTTTCGAGGGAGAGGAGGTCCATATACTCGAGGAGCAGTTGGGGACCTCCATACTGATAGGTAGCTTCGCCATCAGTCTTGTAGCCAAAGAATTTGATGATGTTGGGGTGGTCGAGATTTGAGAGTAGCTGGATCTCGGTGCTGAATATTTGGCGGCTAAATTTTCCAAGTCCAAGGCGCTGCCTCTTCAAAGCATAGTCCTTGCCAGTAGGCGGGTGGGAGGCCTTGTGCACGTAGGAATCTTCTCCCCAGCCAAGAAGGTTGTCCTCGTCGATCACCACTTCCGAGATGTTGATAGGATGATTAGGAGGAGGAGTGGGGAGAGTAAACGGAGGATCGACGGAGGAGTAAAGAGGAAGGCTTTGGTTAGCTGAATTGGGAGCCGCCATGGAGGTTACCGGGGGTGGTGGAAGCGGCAAGAGATCGAGATCAGATATCCTAGAGCTATCTAGGGCTTTTTGAAAGAGGGATCGGAAGAGATCGAGATCAGAGAGGCCGTATATATAATAAATATATGCATGCACCAACAAATCCATATATATTAGGATTAGGAAAATAATTCTGTTTTCAAAATTTATGTCCAATTTGATACGGAGTATTAATTTTTTTTTTTCTTTAAATATTATTTTTAGTCCTTTCACTATATTAATATGTCTCCGGTGCCTTATTATGAATAAGGGTCAAATAGGTCAATTCAACTGCACACAATAATACAATTAGATAACTAAACTTTAAAAAACAACAATTAACTCCCTAAATTAATTAATTTCATTTAATTAGTCCAATTTACAGGTTTTTTCAGGTTACTAACAGGTCATTCCATTTTTTCTTTAAAATTGTTATTTAAAAAAATTATTTAAACTTTAAAAAAAAAAACGAATAAAGTCTCCACCCGAGACGAAAAAAGTCTCCGGCCATGGAGGCGGTTTTAATCAAAAGGAAGGGAATGAGGATCGGAAAGCCGACGACTTGTACAAGCGTGCCCATCCATTTGCTATTGCCGCCTCTTTCGAAGTAGACGTTGTCAAGGTTGGTGGTGACTGTTTGTCCGGCGATAACGAACACGGAGTAGGCCGATATTTCCAGCTGCCTGCCGTATAATAGTTTGAGTAAAGAACCTGTTAATTAACATTATTGCTAATTAGAATTCTTTTACAGGTTAATTAACATTAATGGATTAATCCTCACAACTTGTGTGAACCATGGTCCACACAATAATGATTGAGCTTTGGTCTCTAGAATGATCTAAACTCAAGTTTTCCCTTAGAAGCTCTCTTTCCCTTTCAACGATGAATTTTTTATGCAAACCGAAACGAAATCCTGATCAGGAAAGTCCAGTTAACTTTACGAAGATGTTGTTTCTCAAAAGTTGGCTTTCGCATTTTAGCCTACTAATTCTTGGTAATATTGTGATAAATTATTAGCTCTTTTTTTTTTTTTTTGAATTATTTTCTTTATTATTTCTGCATAAAGGTGTTCATTACTTATAAATCTACTTGTGTTTCTATGTTTGAATAATACTACATGCTATGAAATCTTTAGCTCTAGTGAAGAACTAATTAGATCTAAGAACTAATTGATGGTAGTACTTTGCTCTGAAATCATTAGCAATAATGCTAAATTTCTTATATCACAATTCAATGTAGGGTTCTTTAGGTTTTTTATAGTTAGACTCTTATTTTTTTTATTTCTAAATCATCATCTGTATATATTATATCCTCTGCCTCTGTATATATTAGATAATCTGATTTAAAAAAAAAAAAATTGCATGTGTATTTCTGTAAAAGAATAATAAATAGACAGAATAACTATGATAGAAAAACAGTTAATGAGAACTAAATAGGAAAGCAGTTGAAGAAAAATAGCAAGAAGAATAAGACAGCAGTAAGCAATACTACTTAATTAATGTCATAAGATATCTAAAGTAGGTATGTTTTCTTTTAAGTGTATAAATTAATCTTATTTTATGTAATTGTGGGCATGTTTTACTTGCGGGTATTTGTGCCTAACAATTGTCTAACTTTGTACCTGTCAAACTTTGCCTTTATACTTTAGGTTATCATGTGTTTATCCTTGGTATCTAGCTGTGATATTTACTTGTTTACTTTTTTTTTAATGTTATGTTTAGAGTTCTTGGAGTAAGTTAATGATGTCCACAAATAAAATGGTAAAAGGATGAAAAGTGTATCGCTTAGCATAATTGGATTAGCAAATTTATTTATAAACATCTTTCAAAAAATAAAAATACATTTAATCCATGTATAGAAAATGTACATAAAACATAAATAAATAAATAAATAAATAAATAAATAAATAAAAAAAACTAGCTACTAACTTCCTTCCTAAAATTCAACAGTCCATTAAGACTTTCAACCTTATCATCAGATACAAATCACTAAAATGTTATGAAAAAACTATTAAGTTGATAATTCATAAAAAACATATGAAACTATTTAGGCTCCAACTTTAGGATTGTCAAGCAATCCAGGACAATGAGCAGCTACTAAGGCACTGTCATCCCTACTTTCAAGACCGCAAATGCATAAGTTTTCAAACTGTTCTTTCTTGATAGCAATCCTATAAAATCAATGATTGATCCACCAAGGACTCTATCTTCTCGTTAGGAACTAACCCATTGTCCTACAAAACAAAAAACAACTTCAATGGAAAACAATATATTTTGGTAATACCCAAAATATTAGAGCTGATACCTTTAGTTGTGGTGCTGTTAAACCAAACAATACGATGCATTCACTTCCCAAAAATAGGAATAGTGCATTACCAATCACATAAAAATCTTACTTTGAACCTATACCTCCGAATACCATCTTGCCAACTCCTATTACATGTATTACATCTATTCAAACCATCTGTCAGTATAAGTTTTTTTGTTACAGAGCTTGTAGACCTGCAAGAAAGATAACACCTATTCTGATCATTCTCTATTCCAACAACTATTGTAGGACCCCAATAATCACCATACTGCACAAAAATAGTGTATGAACAATGTTATAAAATAAAAAAAAATTGCACAGTGTTTAACTGGATGTCATATTTTAGAATTGTTTTTTACTTACTATATTGGTGGTTCACTGGAACAATCAAAAAACACAATTAGCCAAATTGATAGCAGTGGAACAGTGCTACCAATTTAATGGGTCCAAAAGGCCTGCAAAAACAACATTACATTCCTGACCTTGTCCATCCCACACTGTCGAATTCAAATTTGTTCTTCATGAAATCAATAAAAAAAAAATTATTCTTCATGAAATCAATAAAAAAAAATTAAAATAAGTAGAAGAAACTGTTAGGAAACTGTAAAAATATACTCACTTTGACTTGAACTCAACAAACTCAAAAGAACAGTGATTAATCCACAGTTTTGTAGCATCATAAGAGCTGATTAATCCATACCTAAAACAATAATTGTGGCCACTTTCATGACTTTATTCTTCAACCAAGCCTTGACTTTACTTAAATCACCTCAACATTCTAGAATGTTGATCCTCTTACATTGTTTTACCTACGTATAAAACAATGTATTCATAAGTTATTTATATTAGAATTGGTAATAAGAAATAAACCTCTATAACTATTTTAATATTTCAGAATGGCTTGTTCATCTTAGTCCTGCCGAGTTGAATAGCAACCATTCATATCCACAACCCTAATTTTCAGCCTATACATTAGAATACCATCAGACTAACTCCTCAGACATTTTAAACATTTATTCATTCCTTCACTGACAGTAAGCTTCTTGTTGCAACCCCTAGTTTTGCAAGAGCTATAATACCAATAATTAGAGCTCTTGATTCTAGATATTCTTGCAGCAACCCAAAAAACCCCAAACTGTGAGTAGAAGTATAAAATTTTTTAGTTATAACAACTCAGTTATTAAATAATACATTCTGAGTTGCAATTCAATCAGCTCAACAAACTAAAAAAAAAACCTCTTCTTTCTCATAGATATCATTTGGTAACCACTTCCATTGTACCTTGTGGACTCATCAACCTGAAAAATCTCAACTTCTTCCTTTGAGATATTGGCATGGATATAGGTTCCCTAAAAATTTGTAACTAAGATTAAGACAAGAAAACACTTTATATCATAAAACAGAGAGTAAAAAAATGGAAAACTGAGGAAAATTTACTATCATAGGAAAAAAACAAAACAAAACTGGAAAACTGATTTTACCTCCTCATTGTAAATTAAACATTCTTCAATTTTCATGATTTCGGCTCCTAACTTCTGGTACTTCATATGTTATTGCTCTTGGTGTGCAGTGGACTATTATCCTAATAAATATTGAGAAGGCTTTTTTTTTTTGTAGAGTATTCAAAACTGTTTCATATACTTTCTCAACGTACTGAAGCACAAAGAACCAATAACAGAGGCTCGAACTCATAATCTTCCAAATGAAAGTCCAACCCGGGTACCATTAGACCACATAGTCCTGATTAATTCAGCCAACTTTGACATCTTTAATATAGGCTAAACCTAATGAGTGGCTGTAAACCAATGTGAACATCATTAATAATCGGAACAAAAAACAATCTACCTAAAACGACATAGTTTTTATTGGGCGGGAAAATGCAAATCAGAAAGTTATTGCTTTAGATTAGATTAATTAGATTAGATTAGATTAGATTACACAATAGTATTTTAGTCTTTATACCACTCATTTCTTTCTCAACTCCAAAATCCTATTTCTTTATACCACCAAACAACTAATTTGAATTCATACTTTATTCCTGCCTTATTCTTTTCCCATCAAATTACAATTCATTTCCCTGGGCAATTCACATCCATAGTCCTCTTCTTTAGATCATCCCATTCTTGAATGGGCAATTTACAGTCACAGTCACATTCCTCTTCTCTTTGTATATTCCAGCACCACTCCCCCTCCTCCCTGACTCTTTTTTACTCCCCCTCCTCCCTGACTCTTTTTTACTCAAAGTCACAAGGAAATTTTCAACCTGATTTGACTAATAACTATAATTAATAATAGTTATTATTAAAAGTTAATAATAAATTAGTACTTAGTTGAATTATTAGTGAATTAATGAAGTGATTGGATTTCTTTTAAATATTAATTGTTAACAATTAAATTGTTGATGATGAAGTGACAAAAGATAGTGGAAAATGTGTCTTCTTCAAGCTAAAAGATCCAAATTTAAAGTTAGAGGATGCAACATTAAGACTAAGAGAAGTTTGCTCTAGGTGAAGATAATTGAAGAGAAGGTTTGGGGAAATGTTGAGTTCTTCTTTTTCTATAGCCAGTAAGCTTTAGACGAAATTGTGTTTTTTTTTTAGACCTAAATAATTGATCATTGGTCTAAGGCAATGTATACCACATTTATGTTTGAAGAAGCTTTGTAGACTGTATGA